AATCTATTCTTTAACTTTAATTTTCATAGTACATGTAGTAAGTTGTCAACAATATACAGCACCGCTATAGTTCATGATGAACGAAATAGAAGTAGGCCTGTCACCATGAGTAACATCGTTGAATTTGTCGCAACGTATCAAATGCATTATGTAAACAGTTTCGGTATCTAACAAAATCAAGTAAACGAAATTCAATCATTGATCATTTAAAAAATAAACCTTAATCATTATTATCAATTATCGATGAAAAATCACGAAATCTGCAAAGTTGCTTGCTCGAAATTATGTTATGCACATTTAAGGGACTTGGTAACATTGTTCAGATGAGAGAAAGTAGTGCTAAGGTAGTGACTTCAATGCTAGATGCACAATTAAAGATAATCTGAAAGTTTGAGTGAAAACGGACCATTACTTATTATATAAATTGGGAAAAACTGATCTGATCGATTCCTTAATTCTCCCAACTATATGATTACAATTTAATAAAGCAATACATTTAAGTGTTGGAAGATTTTTTTAAAGCCTGTCTTATGTCTTTTTTTCATGGAAAAACGGTTGGGAAAATTCCAAAATGGTTGGGAGAATTTACTGTTAATCACTGTTAGAGGGTGTTGCACAGTGACACCTTCAAAAAAAACCATAGATATCTTTGTGGTTTGAGAATTTTGTTCAGGAATTTGTGCATGTCAGAGGTCTAGTACAGTAGAAGGAATATAATAAGTAACATTTCATACAACAATATGCATTTTTTCAAAAACTTTTAGCAATGTTACCGAGTCACTTAAAAGAAGTGGTAATCCCCCTCCCCCCTTAAAAATGTAGTATTATGCATATACTCTAATATTTTTGAAAATTGAGATTCTTTTAAATAAACTACATGTTTTTATGTTATTTTATCGTTCTGTTCAGTGGTGCGACATCCAAATCGATGTTTATACAACATGTTATTTACCTCATCATCTCGTTCGAGATCTTTCCTGTAACATTTCGTTTATCCGACCAATTCAAGCGCCTTTTCATCACAATGTTGGCAAATAGGGCATTATGCCAGCGCTTAGTTTCATCCTGTTATTCCCTTACATCTTGTAATGATATGGTTTAGATCAAGGTCCTTCTAGGATTTAATTACTGACGGTGTCGAAACACGAGCTCAATGATTACCGAGGCGAGTCCAGACCATCTAAAGGTTGCTATCATGTGAGACGGTGGTCCTTTCAAGAGTACGCGTCTAGGAAACGGAAGTATAGGATGTTTCAATACAAAAACCGATGATACCCCTGAACAAGATGATCTATAAATCTGAGCGTCATATGAAATCATTAAATCAAGCTATTTTCAGTGAAGAACGAGGCGATCGAGTCGAGACTATCTAAAGATAGCCAGCTTGTGAGACGGTAGTCCTTTTCAAGAGCACACGTCCAGGAAAGATTGTTGGTTGGTTGGTTGGTTGGTTTTATTTTCCGTATAAAAATTCAAATACATAAAAGAAATCAATTTACAAATATAATACAAATCAAGAATTAAAAATGGCTGGAATGCTCTATTCAGAGCCATTATCAAAATGGCTCTGTTCTTTCTGGAGGTTGTTTAAACGAGAAAAAAAATCGCCATAAAAAAAATTACGAGTATGATATACATATATAAGAATGCATCAAGATAGTTTCAGAGATTATCAAGCTCATGATTCGAAACGGTGCAGTGATGTAAAATTGTGGTAATCCTACATTCATGCGTTGAGAAAAGGAGGTTATATAGTTGCGGTAAAAACAGATAAAGCAGAATAAAAGTTATAATAATGATATTTTCACTGCTTTGAATGCGTGTTTGTTTTAACTTTATGAGTATAATAATTAGACATTATAAATCCAGGGACTTCAGTGAATACCGAGCCTAGTCGAAATCGTCATTAGGGAATATGAGCTTGCACATATACATGTAGTTCTTTTCAACATTAATGTAACAAAATGTATATGAGTTTGTGTACACCTATAACAATAATCTAAACATTATTTAATTACCCAACACATCATGTCTAGTTAATCAATATGTTGTAGGGATGGGGTCCGGGATACTTGAATCAATATGCCATTAATATTGCATAACTTCAGAGCAATTATTTTATAGCGCCCTTAAGAGTAGTGTCAAAGCCAGTGATTACAAAAAACTCTGTAACAGATTCGCTAGGAACTATAAGCAACATGCGTTCTTATTTCTATTTTGACTGAATTAGTGTAGTCCCCCTTCCTTGGAAACACACGTTGCTCTTTTTAGCCGTTCCAATTAGTGCCATATTGGCCAGATTTCCATCTTTTTTTTTATTTACCGTGTATAGTTCAAGTTCAGTGACATCATAATAGAAGACTGATGCGACAATATGGATGGCTAATTCGGTCAATGACATTGTTAGATTAACCTCTCTATTAAGAAGGAGAGAGAGAAATACTAGAGTGTGGAATAGAAAGAGAAGAGGAAGGGAGAGGAGGGAGGAGAAGAGAAATTAGACGGGAGAGTGAGAGAAACTCACTGGAAACTTTTGCGAATTGCAACAATTAAGTGTTAAATTGCGATTCGCTTATCTTGTGACATGAATCTCTCGCAATTGTGAACCACTCATAATATTCATGAAAATTTCTGGTTTTACAGTTACATACAGAGAATGAGAGAATAAGATGAGCAAAGAATGGTATGTAAAGAGAGAGAAAGGGAAGGGCCCTACGGAAGCGAATTGGAGAGACAGAGGAGAGAGTAAGAGAGAGAAAAAAGAGGGTGAGAGAGGGGGAGCGAGAGAGACAGAGAGAGAGAGAGAGAGAGAGGGAGAGAAAAAAAGAGGATGAGAGAGAGGGAGGAGAGACTGACAGAGACAGAAAAGAGAGACAGAGGGATATTGGGTATGTCACAGGATTAAAACAAATGTTGATTTTCTGAAAGCATGGTTATGAAAGTAGAATTTAAAGAATAGAAAGAAGATGAAATGTACGGACAGACCCAAGCTTAACAGATGTTTCTCGTCAAATACACTCACAACTATTAATTCCAGTTGAAATTATCACAGAAAAAGACATTCTCATTAATGGTCAAACATGTTGCTCATAAAGACGACGCAAATTATTCTACACACCATCTATCTTCAAAACAAAACATTGTCAAAACAAGGACATCCTATGAAACCACACAGTGCCATATTCCTAGACACTCGCAAAAAAGCAAACTGGATCATCCTTACTTGGCAGTGATCCTCTCTAACACACTTGTTCATCAAGATAACAAATCATGAAATCTTGTCCTTTTCTCATTTATATCCTCAAACTCTTTTCAAACCTGTTTTAAAGGAATAAAGGATTGTCTAACAGAATAAAAGTAACGCAATACACAAAGAAAGAAAAAAATCCAAATGAAAAGCCATCTTTTGTTTGAAATTATATATATTTCCTGTATTCTGTCATGAATATAATGGATTAAATCCCAATACACTTGATAGTAATTTCTATGTTAATTCAGAAACAAACATATATAAATTCAGTCTCACTTTTCTTTCCCAATTTTCCCCCTTTTCAGCCCTTAAATGAATGTTTACAAATCCATCAATATAAAAAAAACTCACATTCTTTCACACAAAAATATATACTGATGGAATAAGGCATTTGATTCAAAATTTTCAAAAGAAAATTTCTCCTTAGTACAACATACCAGAATGTTTCTTACTTCAAAAACAGACACACACACACAAATCAAGCGAAATTGATAACACTTTGCCTTTAAGACAAAACTGCCACATGTCAGTCCTAAGCAGATTTATTCTGATCAAAGTCTTTCAATAATAGCGTGAGATTCTCACTAGTTTCCTCAAAGCAAATTAATTAACACTAAAATAGGAATGTTGAGTATAATTTCATATTATTTCTGAATAAGAGTTGGAATATAAAAGTTTATACAACAGTAATTGGCACCAGTCACGTAGCCATGGGGGGGGGGGGGGGGGCACGTGTCCCCCAAAAATGTCTAAGATCGGTTGAACTTTTTAGACCCCTTTTTTTTTAACCTCGATCGATTACATGTATGTGCCCCCCCCCCCCCCAAACATCAAACTCTGGCTACGTGCCTGATTGGCACTACAACAGAGATATCTTTCTACAATATTGAAATGAATGATAAAATTGTATCTGGGTAAATAAGCTTGACTCTACAATTTTCAACAATTGAACCTTTCTTGACCCCCAACTGCTCAATATACACACCTTTCATACAATCTAGATCTTCCAAGCTTCCAAACAACAAATGATTGAAAATGTACGGTGTATATCTCATATTATACAACTAACTCCTAGACCCTAGTCCAACGATTGGTCAAAAGTGGTCACGTGTGATTCATTTATAGAGACTATCCCATGTTTTTTCATAGAAAAGCATGAATAGTAAAGTAAGCCAAGTAACAAGTATAAATGCACTGGATATACTGGACAAATATCTCTTGTCAAAGAAAATATATATTTTATACTTTCATAGCAAATGTTTCAGTCTCAAATACAAAATAGAAGTTCTTCCTCTACATATATTATTGCTGTTCATGTTCTTAGTTTTTTGGGTGTGAGCAGAGAAATTTACACTTCAAGTGTAATTTCTAGGAAAAATAGAAATATCCATTAGTATTTTTGTCAAGGTGGGGTATGTATTGTTCTGACTTATTGGATGCAGATTATCATGGCATTTGCTGCACTGAGACTTGCTTCTTAACTCATATCCTGCCATAAGGCCGCATGCACGCTACCGTGTTAGTGCTTTGCACACGCAAGCGCACTATCGATTGGCTGCTTAATTCATGCATGCTCGCATTCGTAATAGCAGTTATTGTTCATGCTCATTGTACTGTGCTGAGTGCTTCGCACGCGCTATTAATCGCACCATCAGATTATCAGATTATCAGATTATCTCAAAATAAACTTGGCACAGGGGGGATTTGTGGCTTGGCACAATGGGGATTAGCCCTGTGGCACTGGGCTGTATTCATTATGGCAGGATAAGAGTCAATAGCTCTAAATAAAGTTACTGGTACATGATTTATCTGGCTGGGTGCTCTACAAAGGACAGACGGATGGACGGGATCATCGTGATTAGAAGCCCATCATGTACAGGGCCGTCATGGCTGCGATGGGCGCCCCCGTTGGCACACCGGGGAAAGGTCCGGAAGATCCGGCGATGTCTATGTGAGAGTAGGCCAAGGGGGACGAGGAGTCTTGGCCATGCTGATAAGAGAAGAGATCAAAGTCAAGATATTTTCTGGTTACCTTTCAACAACACATGAACTTCATATCTACTTTGGATAAAGCTGTGCACACAATGAATCACTCTACTTCTTCTTTTCATCTCTTAATTTAGCCTCCTCTCTCTCTCTCTTTTCCACAGTATTACTCTAGTTTCTTATGCTTCTCTCTTCACTGAGTGACTGTTTTCCCTTCTACTCTCTTATTAAATATCCCCCATCTCTCTTTCTCTCTCTCTCTCTCTTTCTCTCTCTTTCTCTCTACCTCTGTCTCTCTCCCCTCTCCTCCCTCCCTCTCTATCTCTCCCTCTCTCTCTCTCTCTCTCTCTCTCTCTCTATCTTTCTCTCTGTCTCTTTCTCTCTATCTTTCTCTCTATCTCTGTCTCTCTCTGTGTCTCCCCCCTCCCTCCCTCCCTCCCTCCCTCCCCCACCCTCCCCCCCCCCCCCCCCCCCTCTCTCTCTCTCTCCATCCCTCTCTCTCTCTCTCCCCCTGTGTCTATCATAAATCACATACAACCGAACCCACCTTATCCAATCCTGAAGCCATTATAAGGAAAGCTGCAGGGCTCTGGTGACCTCTAGGGGTCAGCGTGGAAGGCTTGTTGTTGGCCTGGAGGACGTCCTCGTACTCAGATTTTCCCTTGTGGAATGCATAGTCCTACAAAGATATACAAAATATCTAAACAGTTTAGAGAATGCAGGTTGCCATATATATATATAAAGCCATATTCAAAGCCATACTATACTAGAAGCACTAGCTAGCCCCATCTCGGGTTAGTTGTAGCAGTATGGTCCCAAAACTTGCTGCTTCCCTAGCTGCAGTGTTTGTTCTCACATCGAGTCCCTGTATGCGAAGTGGGAATTAGGTATTGGATTACGCACTGTTGGCAAGTCGACCATGAGATGGCGCTGTGCAATAAACAGTACGCTAGGACAGAAAGTTCATCAGTTCAGTATCGCTTTAAAACCAAGCCACAACTCAACCAACAGGTTAATAATTATAAACTAACCCTGTCTATCAAAATAACAATGTATCGGGTCCATTTGGGTCCTTGACCAGTCGGACCCTTTACCTTTTTATCTATACTCAATCTTCAATCTTCAATCAATCATGGTAGTGTAAGATATTTTTGTAACCAGTATATAAAAGGTTAATTTCTGTTCAGATATTTAGGCTGAGGATATAGTTATAGACACCAAAACATGTAACCATCATTCAAATGCTATGCTTTGGGGTATTTTTTTTCCGTTCTTTATGGGATTTTTTTCTTTGTTATTATTCTGAAAAACAGGCTGTAGTTTTAAAGAGTTTAATTTTAAAAGGAGCTAAAACCATTTGTTGTAACTTTCGAGAAAAAGGGAATTTTGTACAGGCATCTATGGAAAAGTGATATTAGAAGGAGCATTTTTTCATTATTGCTCCCAAAATGTAGGTAAATAATTTTGTTAAAAGAAAGGTACTGAAGTGAACAATGTTCTGATATCAATAATTCAATTTTCATCAAAAGTGGATTTAGCTCCTTTTGGAATTAAGCTCTTCAATTGTGTACTTTGACTTCCATTTGTGGGAAGCAGATTTTACAAAAACATGAGAAAACAGCTCAGGATAGTTTACCATGGGGTTACGTTCCATTGGGTCTGGAATTAGAAATTTACAAGCTTAATAAAAGACGTGAAGTTTTACAGAAATAAATAAACACTCCTTACACTGATCTTGGTAATACAAAAACTAATCATCGCAGAGTGCATCAACAATGCAAAAATTGCTTTCAATCTACATCCTTTACTTCACATTCATGAAAAATGATGACTTTGAAAGCATAAATTGAGGTAAAAATGGAGGATTTGTATTGCCTACCTCTCGTCTGATGGTGGATATTTCAAATGGGTCAGCGATCAAATCACCAGCTGAAATGAAATAATAAGTAAAATAGTATAAAATATTCCACATCACATACACAAGCATAGGTGACATATATATCAAATGAATTTGAATGGCAATTTGTGTACAACGTTTGAGTTGAGCTCTTTTTTTAAGCCGCAAAAAATCTGTGGCTGGATCAAAAAATAAAAAGTAAAAAATAAAAATTGTGACGGACGGACGTACAGACAACCCGAAAAAACATAATGACTCCGGCTACTTTGTAGCGGAGAATAAAACTAGACAAAGGAAATACCAATCTTTTTAAACCTCCAACATGAGCAGGGCACAAATGCATGCTCTATTAACTGGCTGCAATACCCCCGTCAAAAAGATACGGCAAACAACTTGCTATACCTTTTGTAATCATATAGTGTAATGTCAGCCTTTTTTGTGTGTGGCTCTGACTGGCTCAGTGAAATCTTGAAACTGATGAAATTTTGATGCCTGTGTTAGATTGTACTTTTGCATCCATCATTTCTAAATCTGGGGGGTGTTTCACAAAGCTTGTCATCAGTGACAAATGACAGTTGTTGTTATAAGCTACTGAAATCCTTGCTTCTGATTGGTTATCAGCAGATTTGTCACTGATATTTGTCATTTGTCATTGAAAAAAGTGTTTGTGAAACAGGTCCCTGGATAATCATTGTAATGTTGATACTTATGAGCAATGAAATAGATGGTCAGTTCTACCTCTCTGCATGTTCCTTGCGTGATCAGTCTTCTTGGCAGGTCCATTATCCATGATGATCTATTCACAAAACATGATATAAACAATGCAGTGTCAATATCATATACAGTAGCGTACAGGGTAAGAGGACATATTTTTAAATTTTGTTTGGCCTCGAAATTTGACTGGTCGACATTTCAATCCATTGGGGGGGGGGTTTGCTCCAAAATGCATACATTAAAAAACAATGAAGGGGGAAGGGGTTTACACTGACACTGTTACATATTGCAAATATCAGCGCTGCAATTTTAACGAATTTCACAGCATAAAAATTTGATGAATCTAGGCCCCTTTCATAAAACTTGTTATCAATAACAAGTTACAATATATTGAAACTGTGGGATTTGATTGGTTGAGAGCAAATTTTTCATAGAAATTTATCATTTGTTTGATATTTATAACACGTTTTATTTGAAACAGGGCCCTGGATCATTTTCAAAAACTCCTGAAAGTCTCATTTCGACATTTTCTGGTTTTACAACCGACCTACTGTGAGGTGTACTTTACTTTACAGTAGAGCAGATTTTCTGACTGTAAAATAAAATGTCATTGTTTAAAGCCTGTCTGTACTATTTTGGCCAGGAGGGATTAGACATCCCACCATGGTCACTGGCAGGTGGTTATCTCATCAAATCAGCTCTCAATTAACATAAGAAAAAGATAAACATGGGGGACCAACAGGCTACTATAAGTAGTGCAGTGGCGCTTTAAAACAAAAACTTGGTTCTTTACAGGTCCCACAAATCCCACGAAGATCTTACCGAGTAGTCTGGTCCCATGGCTCTGATCGCATGACCAGTTAGAGTGGCAATAGTCATCAGATGAGGGTTGATTTCTTTCAGAGCCTGTATGCATGGACGAAACGATCAAAACAAGCTAGATTTATCTTCATTCCACATAGATTTGTTTGCACTATAAAGTGGAATCACTGATGGACTCATCAATCCAGAAAATACACTCTTAAAAAGGTTTGATATTTGACAAATCACACAATGGGTTCGAGGACCAGAATAAGAGTACTAAATTGTTACATCAACCCAGTACTTATGTATGGTAGTGAAACATGGACTGTAGCCTCTGATACTAAAAAGCGTTTGGAAATTTGCTAAATGTAGTTTTCAATAAGAATGATTAACATCCCTTGGACTGACAAAGTTAGTAATGAGGAAGTTCTTAGACGAGCTGGAGTGCAAAGGAAAATGATACGTGAGATATTGATTAGACAGTTGAAGTTCATGGGTCACATTGCACGTAAAGAAGGCCTAGAGAATCTTGCTTTGACATTGAAAATTGAGGGAAGAAGGAGGATACTTTGGATGGACAGTCTGCAGAAAATGTTGGAAGAGAGAGGAGTGAAAGAACTGGGAGTGGTGCTAATAGAGAAGGCTAGGAACCGAGGGTTGTGGAACAGCATTATCGCCAAAGTCAATCGATAGAGATAGAGAGAGAGTTGATACCAAAGCTTAGTAAATTTACTGACAGTTCTCATAAACAAGTGAAGAGAATGAGCAACACGGATGAGAAATTTGAATTTATTTCTGAAGCAGCTTCAGTTTATTAAATACAATGAAAGGAAATCAGTTTGTATATTGGGTCATATATTACGTGGGAGAAACTATCACCTATGGCCGCTGCTTTAAATAATCACACACAAATCAATAGAATTGGAACTACCCATAACATTAAATTTACGCCCTCAATAATTAAAAGAAATGCCTGTGCCTGTGATAGAAGTTGTATCGCTGAATACCACTGGCAATTTCTAAAAGACCCTCTAAGACTTCCAAGAAATTTGTGAAGTCTACCTTTTCTTTCATTTCACAGAGGCAGTCACCCATTGCCATCCTGCCTTCGGCGTCCGTGTTGCCAATTCGAATCCTCGCTCCAGCCCTTGATGTAATGATCTCATCTGCAACATAGCTCTCTGCAACCAACATACAATACTTATAATGTCACGACCCAACATGCACATACTACTAACAGTCAAACTTGTCTATTAATGGCCACCCAAGAGAAACAGAAAAAAGTGGACTATTGTAGACAGGTGGCCTTTATAGAGGGGTGGCCACAGGATTCTTTTCTTCTTTTAAAAAAAAAAATCATAATTGGTCGTTTACTATGCATTGAAATGGTATTTCTATTTAGGTTTATAAACCTCTCTTTAGAAATCTAGCCATCTGATTGGTCGAAATTGCAGTTGTGATTTTGGATATTTCCTTGGGTAAAAGGCCGCATAAATCAATCGGCTTTAAAATAGATCCCCATTGGTTTACGTGTTAAGATTTTCTTTGTGCGAGCGCGGAACCATACAGTGCTTTTTGTCTGCCATTCCCAAATGATTGAAACTTTCAATCATTTTTTAATTTTCTGTGATGTTTTAATCAATCTTTACTCAATAAAAGGATAAGGTAAGAATTCTTGGTAGATTTTTGTTTCAATTTGGCATATTAAAGAGATATCAACTGCTTTAATATTCGAGGCCTGGCTGTCAAAGCACTCAATATCTTTATAATATAAATATAAACATTTTCTTAAATACAAACGGTTTTTAACTACTATTAAATTTAAGACATGAAGCTTGACTTGAAATGCACATGAAATGTAGAGGGGCTATCACATCTTTACAATGCACTATATACAGGTATACAGTCCCTTTTGAAGGTCTACCTCTATTATCAAAGAGCATGTAGAAAAATAGAACAAGGAGGTAGAATTTGTGAAAATAACAATTTAAAATTCCTTTTAAAACGAAATTAATGCCATTATACCAAAGATAAACATTTGTTTGACTGATCAAGGCAAGACTTACCCACGCCCACACTGTTTCTAACCATAGCCATTGTGCCAATGACCTTCAACCCTGCTGGCTTGATGATGTCCAGGGTACGGAAGAAACCGGCTACCGCTGCCGCACCACATTTATCCCTAGAAAAGCAATGATTACATGATCAAGATTTTTCATATGATGTAAAATTGATGATGATGATGATAGTAGTGATGATCATTTTGTTATGGTATTGATAATGATATTGATTTATTGTGATGATGATGACGAAAATGATGATGTGTGATGATGGTGATGTGTGATGATGGTGATGTGTGATGATGGTGGTAATGGTGATGATGATGATGATGACATTGATGATGGTGATGATGATGATGATGATGATGATGGTGGTAGTGGTGACGACGACGACGACGATGATGATGATGATGATGATTTTCATGATGATGATGATGATAGGGATTATGGTGATGAGAGTGATGATGGTGATGATGATGATGATGATGATGATGACGATAAGAGTGATAATGTCCATGACTGTGTGGTTATGGTGTTGTTTGTAATAATGATGATGATCATGCTGCAGTTGATGACAATGGTGATGATGATGATGGTGATGGTGGTGGTGGTGATGATGGTGATGATAGTGATAATGATAATGTTGGTGTTGGTGATGATGATGATGATGATGATGGTGATGATGGTGATGATGGTGATGATGGTGATGATGGTGATGATGATGATGTTGATGATGATGATGATGTTAATGATGATGATAATGATGGTGATGATGATGATGATGATGATAATGACGACAACAATGACGGCGATGGTGATGATGATGATGATGATGATGATGATGATAGTGTTAATGATGAAGATGATGATCAGAATGGCATATAAATGTATAAGAGGGCTGTACATCCATGCCTGTACTAACCATAATAAAAACATTATGGAATATTGGTACCACAGATTTGATTTGATTTGATTTATTTATTTATATTTGATTTTCTTTATTCTTTGGCACTTTTACAAATATATAACAAACACCTTTCCAACGTGTAATAGTTACCTGTGCATTCCTGCCATAACTCCGCCCGCCTTGATATCAGCACCACCGGTGTCATAGGTCACACCCTATTAACGAAAGATACACTTTATCTTCAACAAGCTTCTTACAACCAGAAAACATTATTTTATGGGGGTTGAAATTCTCAGCCCTTACAATTTGGGAAGTTGGAAATGTTCACCCCTTCCCATTTTGAGGCTCTGTTCAGGTAGCTTAGGGAAGTGAAGAGGCACTTGATAAAGCATCTAAAACTGTAACAACATTGTTGGTGATGTTGATACATCTCCAATCGTAATATCTTGGTTTTGCCCCTATGCTATACAATTATGAATACTAACAATTATACAATTATGTTCCGGGCACATCTTTAACTGAGCTCAATTTTCATTAGTGACCTCACCCTTTAAAGGTATTACAAAGTTTTGGTAAAAATATTTAATTCATCTGAAATTCTTTGATGTTATAACAAGATGCAATAGGAATATCTTTAACCAATCTCCACCGCTGAAATACTTTTTTTTTTTTTTAGTGAATTAAACAGTAATTAATAAATCAATTATTAGTTCCAAGCTGCCTGTATTTAAACCGGCTCATGATGTTGTATACTAGCGCCATCTACTGTTGTAAATGGTTCATGGTATAATCGATATTGAAACACTGTGTTACGTTCGCCCCGCCCGGCGCAAGCCACATGGACAGAAGACAAACAGCAATTTTGACACCGCGCTGACCCCGCTCCACGGCGGGGAAGCGACTGTATTCGAATGGCTTCGGTCCATGTTCTTTTTTTATAGCTCCATGGTACCAGCATCTGTGTGCGTTTGTGTGAGAGCAAGTACCGTTCAGGATTGTATCGCACAAATCAAGGGAGTTATAATCTCCTTGCAGAGTGAGTTTGACCATAAACCTATGGTTTGACGTACCCGTAAACCCTCCTCCGCAACCGTCTCAATCTAGTCTCAGCTTCGACTGATCAGTCTTTTTGATATACATTTATAACAGACAATTTCATAGGCCTACGGGATACATGAAGTCTTATCATTTTTTCCAATTGTTATGTCCGTGAAATGCATTCAGAAAAGAATATCAGAAAGAAAGCAATTTGAAAATGAATGACCACATAATCGTTCAGATAAACATGAAAGAAATACAATAAATATGTCTATCCAGATACCGCTCTCTCTCTCTCTATCTCTCTCTGTCCCCCCCCCCCCCCCCCACCCCCTCTCTCTTTCCTACAGAAGTTCGATGTAATGTTCATCATATACCCTTGGAAGTTTCGAAAAAAATCATTTTCACCACATGGACCCTCTCTCTCTCTCTCCGAAATATAGACCCAGGCTCTCTCTGTCACTCTCTCTCTCTCTCTTGTTCCCTCTTTCCCTTCCTCTCGCACCCTCTCGATCTCCCTCTCTTCGCCTGTGCTCCTCTGCACTGCATGTTTGACTTGTTTTCTTTCATCCTCATCTACATTATAACCCCATCAAAAAACTATGGTCCTATCACGTGAATGAAAACTTCTATCGTCTTTGTGATTATTATTATCTTTGTCATATATTTATATGATCCTCATTTACATACACCCCAACAATGGTCCTATCGCGTGAATGAGAACTTCTATCGTTTTTACGATTATTATTATCCTTGCCAAACATACTGTATTATCATATTCATTTACATGATTCACAACCAATTATGGTCCTATTACGCGAATGAGAACTTCTATCGTTTTTGTGATAATTATTATCTTTGTCATATAATTATATCACCCTCATTTACATAACCCCGACAAAAAAAATATGGTCCTATAACGCGAATGAGAACTTCTATCGTCTTTATGATTAGTATTATCCTTGTCATAAAATCCAACCAAAAACTACAGTCCTATCACGTGAATGAGAACTTCTATCTTCTTTGTGATTATTATTATTCTTGTCATATCACCCTCATTTACATAACCCCGACAAAAGAAATATGGTCCTATCACATGAATGAGAACTTCTATCGTTTTTGTGATAATTATTATCTTTGTCATATATATTTATATCACCCTCATTTACATAACCCCGACAAAAAAATATGGTCATATCACGTGAATGAGAACTTCTATCTTCTTTGTGATTATTATTATTATTGTCATATATTTATATCACCCTCATTTACATAACCCCGACAAAAGAAATATGGTCCTATCACAATGAATGAGAACTTCTATCGTTTTTGTGATAATTATTATCTTTGTCATATATATTTATATCACCCTCATTTACATAACCCCGACAAAAAAATATGGTCATATCACGCGAATGAGAACTTCTATCGTCTTTATGATTATTATTATCCTTGTCATAAAATCCAACTAAAAACTACTGTCCTATCACGTGAATGAGAACTTCTATCGTCTTTGTGATTATTATTATTCTTGTCATATATTTATATCATCCTCATTTACATAACCCCGACAAAAGAAATATGGTCCTATCACGCGAATGAAAACTTCTATCGTCTTTGTGATTATTATTATCCTTGTCATAAAATCCAACCAAAAACTACTGTCCAATCACGTGAATGAGAACTTCTATCTTTTTTGTGATAATTATTATCTTTGTCATATATATTTATATCCCCCTAATTTACATAACTCCGACAAAAAGAAATATGGTCCTATCACACGAATGAGAACTTCTATCGTCTTTGTGATTATTATTATTCTTGTCATATACTCTACCCCAAAACTAATGTCCTATCAGGTGAATCATAAGTTCTCTCGCATTCGTGATAATTATTATCTTTGTAATATTTTTACATCACCCTCATTTACATAACCCCGGCCGGCAAAAGAAATATGGTCCTATCACGCGAATGAGAACTTCTATCGTCTTTGTGATTTTTATTATCCTTGTCATATTACTCCAACCAAAAACTACTGTCCTATCACGTGAATAACAAGTTCTCTCGCATTTGTGATAATTATTATCTTTGTCATACATTTGTATTACCCTAATTTACATAACGCCGACAAAAAGAAATATGGTGCACTCCTATTACACGAATAAGAACTTCTATCGTCTTTGTGATTATTATTATTCTTGTCATATACTCCACCCAAAAACTAGTGTCCTATCACGTGAATAATAAGTACTCTCGCATTCGTGATAATTATTATCTTTGTAATATTTTTATATCACCCTCATTTACATAACCCCGACAAAAGAAATATGGTCCTATCACGCGAATGAGAACTATATCGTCTTTGTGATTATTATTATCCTTGTCATAAAATCCAACCAAAAACTACTGTCCTATCACGTGAATGAGAACTTCTATGGTCTTTGTGATTATTATTATTCTTGTTATATATTTATATCACCCTCATTTACATAACCCCGACAAAAGAAATATGGTCCTATCACGCGAATGAGAACTTCTATCGTCTTTGTGATTATTATTATCCTTGTCATAAAATCCAACCAAAAACTACTGTCCTATCACGTGAATAATAAGTTCTCTCGCATTCGTGATAATTATTATCTTTGTAATATATTTATATCACCCTCATTTACATAACCCCGACAAAAGAAATTTTATCGATCGAATGAGAACTTCTATCGTCTTTGTGATTATTAGTATCCTTGTCATAAACTCCAACCAAAAACTAGTGTCCTATCACGTGAATAATAAGTTCTCTCGCATTCGTGATAATTATTATCTTTGTAATATTTTTATATCACCCTCATTTACATAACCCCGACAAAAGAAATATGGTCCTATCACGCGAATGAGAACTATATCGTCTTTGTGATTATTATTATCCTTGTCATAAACTCCAACCAAAAACTATACTGTCCTATCACGTGAATAATAAGTTCCCTCGCATTCGTGATAATTATTATCTTTGTCATATATTTATATCACCCTCATTTACATAACCCCGACAAAAGAAATATGGTCCTATCGATCGAATGAGAACTTCTATCGTCTTTGTGATTATTATTATCCTTGTCATAAACTCCAACCAAAAACTATACTGTCCTATCACGCGAATTAGAACTTCTATCGTCTTTATGATTAGTATTATCCTTGTCATAAAATCCAACCAAAAACTATAGTCCTATCACGTGAATGAGAACTTCTATCTTCTTTGTGATTATTATTATTCTTGTCATATATTTATATCACCCTCATTTACATAACCCCGACAAAAGAAATATGGTCCTATCACATGAATGAGAACTTCTATCGTCTTTATGATTAGTATTATCCTTGTCATAAAATCCAACCAAAAACTACTGTCCTATCACGTGAATAATAATTTCTCTCGCATTTGTGATAATTATTATATTTCTAATATATTTATATCACCCTCATTTACATAACCCCGACAAAAGAAATATGATCCTATCGATCGAATGAGAACTTCTATCGTCTTTGTGATTATTATTATCCTTGTCATAAACTCCAACCAAAAACTATACTGTCCTATCACGCGAATGAGAACTTCTATCGTCTTTATGATTAGTATTATCCTTGTCATAAAATCCAACCAAAAACTACTGTCCTATCACGTGAATAAGAAGTTCTCTCGCATTTGTGATAATTATTATCTTTGTCATATATTTATATCACCCTCATTTACATAACCCCGACAAAAGAAATATGGTCCTATCACGCGAATGAGGACTTCTATCGTCTTTGTGATTATTATTATTCTTGTCATATATTTATATCACCCTCATTTACATAACCCCGTCAAAAGAAATATGGTCCAATCACGCAAATGAGAACTCTTATCGTCTTTGTGATTATTATTATTGTTGTCATAAACTCCAACCAAAAATTACTGTCCTATCACGTGAATGAGAACTTCTCTCGTTATTGTGATTATTATTATCTTTGTCATATATTTATATCATCCTCATCTATAACCCTAAACAAAAATAATATGGTCCTATATCACACGAATGAGAACTTCTAGAGAGAGAGAGAGAAAGTTGGAGCGAAAGAAAGATGAAGGGTTGATATCATTGACCTACTATGGTGATAGTAAGTGAGAGAGAGACAGTCATCAGACAGACGGACACAGACCGACAGAGAGAGAGACTAACAAGTGATATGGATATAGAAATATGATACAGAAGGGGATGAACGAGGTGATGCGATGAGAGGGAGAGAGAGAGACACTCAGACAGATATATATATATATATACAATATACATCAAAAGAGAAATGGTATGGGGTAGAGAAATAAAGAGAGAGGGAAAGAAAATGGGAGAAATAAAGATAGCAAGAGAGAGAGAGAAGAGAGAGAGAGAGAGAGAAAGGAGAGAAGGGATAGAGAGGGATAAAAAAGAGAGATACAAAAGAGAGAGGGGGAGATGAGAGTGATATAGAAGCGACAGAGAGAGTGAGAGAGAGAATTTCAAGGGAGAGTGTTATAACAAGGAGTTACTACATGTACATGTAGTAACTCCTTGGTTATAACATGGACCTGGTTGGGGGGCGAAGGATATAATTCAATTATACGGAAAGAGAGAGATTAGCCCAAACCATAGCCCAAACACGTGTAGCAATTACTGACCTCTACCAGAGGTCATTTAGCAGGATAAACAAAACGTACTCGTAAACTTACTAAGGGATGATCTAAAAATAAGAATGTGCAGTATACACATGATCGACTGTTCGGGAAAACGTCAAGTCAACCTTATTATTGATTAATCTTCGTTTGTAAGATTAAACGTATCTTCCTTATTTTTAATAAAGAAATGCAAAATAAATAATGTTACGTTCTCTCTATAAATGATTACCCAAACTGTCCCTGTACAACGACTTTGGGGAGTATTTTGAGATCATCCCTAAAAAAAAATGTGCTAGGAAATTCTTCGGGCCAATCCGGCACATAGACTAATACACGTACACACGTAACATGTACTATACGTAGGCCTAATACATGCACAGGGATGCCAGATCATGTCATCACGACCACTTGACTGACTTGACCAAAATACAGGCAATGTGTGCGTTCGTTCACAGAGCTGACGAACAACAATATTATCAAAGTCGAGCCATAACAAATGCATTTCAAAGTTGAAAACACAGAAACGATTAAGAGAGGGAAATGGAAAAATGAGTTGAAGAGAACAACACAGAATATTCCGGCCCGCACAGGAAATACATAGACTAACGTACGTAAGTACAATAAGATGGCGGCGGTCCGATCGATTATAAAAGTTTATATAGCGATTACAGTGTACAGACAAGTGTTTTTTTTCTTCAAATTTGGGAGACAGTATAAAAATCTTACACTAAGGCAACTCGACTTTAAAATAATTATCTTTATGATTATATATATTGTTTAAGTCTGGTAATATGATTTGGTGTCAAAACATGTTAATTACTACACTTTGACAATAGTGCTAAATATGTGTTATGCTGTTCAGATGACATGTAAATTTTCGAACTGAGAGGGAGCTATACCAAATTTACCGGGAGTACCGGTAAATTTTTTTATTTTTTAAAGTTTTAATTACTCCAAATCAAAAGCTTTTTAGAGCCCAATTGTTTTAGAGTTGGGTGTTCTAACACTATGTTTCACAATAGTAATGCAAATTTTAAATTTCATGATCCAATCCTGATGAAATATTCCCAAAACTTTGTAATACCTTTAAGACAAATCAAAGTCTCGGTAGAGGCGTGCATGCTTTTTCTCTCAATCTTATTCCATGCCTCTGTGCACCCACGGGCAAAAATGTATCAGCTCCCTTACATCAAAGCATACCGTATTCACAAGCTTCATAAGATAAACAACAGGGCCCCGCTTCACAAAACTTGTCATCAGTGACAAATGACAGTTTTTGTTATAAGCTACTGAAATCCTTGCTTCTGATTGGTTATCAGCAGATTTGTCACTGATATTTGTCATTTGTCATTGTAAAAAGGCTTTGTGAAACACCCTCCAGTTGTTACCTTGCCAACAAGCATGAGTGTCTTGGTGATCTCGCCGCTCCCCACATACTCGAGTTTTATGACACGCCCCCTATGACGATCGACCAGCTTGGCACACCGGTTGACGGCGGAGAAGAGTGGATAGCATTCCATCAGGGCAGCATCATCAGAAATGACTTCAAGCTGTTTATTGCATAATAAAAACCAAATAAGAGAAGATGAAGATGATAAAGATAATATGTCAGCTGTCAGCAAGAAGGCCTGACATAGCTCTTACCAGAGCTGCCAACCTTGTGCGACCAAAAAAAGGAACCATGATGGCAAAAAAACGAATTCATTAAAACGAAACTTATAACCACGCGCAACACACTTCCAATGCAGAAATGTCCACTCCTCATGCTGCTTTTTCCATATTATTGGTATTTTTTTTTGGTATTTTGGTATTATCGGCGTTTCATTCTTTTTGAGAATATTTTTCATTTAAGTATGTTTCCAAGTATGTTTTAACCTTAGTTTTATATTGAATTTGTGATCAAATCAACATTTTAGGGCAGTTGATTGAGTGTGATACCGGTATGTTTAAAAAAAAAAAAAAAAAAAAAATTATTAAAAAAACATATTTTATGAAGAAAAAACGTAATGGTTGGCAGCTCTGCTCTTACAGCCTTCTTGCTGGCAGGCGATGACATAAGAGAATGATTACAAAGATCAAATCATCAATTTGGAACCAGTCTAGAAGAGTGTTCACTCATATCATTAAAGCTTGTTCAAATATGAAGCAGCAAACCCTTGCAAAATAACCTTCGTGGTTTATCAGTGTTTAGATATGGTGCGGCAAACCACTACACTCATGGTAATGAGACGTGCAGTACGTGCCAAATTTAGTTAATTTATGCTTGTCAGGCATTAATGTCTAATAGCAAAACCACCCAATTAATACACTAGAAGCTGATGGAGACATAAAACAAAGCTCGTTATATGGTCAAGAAAATCATTTAACAAAACATGTGCATTACAAGACAGTGAATGGATATTTTTTCCACACACCTGATATTCCGTTTTTTTGACAGATGGTATCCCACATTTTAGAACCTTTCTGATTTTTGCGATATCCATGGATCACTTGCTTAATTTTCTTTTTTAAAGGTGCTGGGAAACATAACCATCGTTACAAACTTACAAATTTCTTGTGAGGAGAGTTTTGCCACAGGCTGTATCTGTGACGTCATATGTTATGACAATTTTGCCAAAAATTTGATTGGTAAAAACAATTTTGCCGCCAGGGGGCATAAAATATAATATGTTCATGATTTGCCTCCTCAAAATTGCCAATCATTTATACACATTATATTCGCAGGGGTTAGCCGCTACATTTCTGAACTGGCCTTTAAAGCTAAAGACCAGTTATGGTCATGCGATTGCATTGTGAAAGAAAAGTTGTGGAATGGATCAGAAAAGGTTGATCATCTAGCATGTAAGTATTGGTGTGTACTGCAAGGTTCTGAATCATCAAAATGATAAGAAACTTGGCCCAGTCTTCGTAAAGTTACAAGCACTGTACACAGAAAGATGTATATGGGACTATACGCACACGTGCGCGACAAGTGCGTTTATCTCTCACAGACCATTGGATAAACTAATTTACCAAATATATCAATTAGTAGGAGGTTTCCTGGCAATTTTTTTATCATCATGTATTAGTCAAAACATATTCTTTCACATGATTGGTAATAAGAGCTTCCATTTCATTTTTTGAAATTGGGGCGTTTCCAATACTGGTCTTTACCTTTAAGCTGTTACAATATATATATATATATATATGAGAAAAAATACAAAGATCAAATCGTCAATTTGGAACCAGTCCAGAAGGGTGGTAATTAGCTCATATCATTAAAGCTGTTACGATATGAGAGAATGATTACAAAGATCAAATCATCAATTTGGAACAAGTCAAGAAGGGTGGTAATTAGCTCATATCATTAAAGCTGTTACGATATAAGAGAATGATTACAAAGATCAAATCATCAATTTGGAACAAGTCAAGAAGGGTGGTAATTAGCTCATATCATTAAAGCTGTTACGATATAAGAGAATGATTACAAAGATCAAATCATCAATTTGGAACAAGTCAAGAAGGGTGGTAATTAGCTCATATCATTAAAGCTGTTACGATAAAAGAGAATGATTACAAAGATCAAATCATCAATTTGGAACAAGTCAAGAAGGGTGGTAATTAGCTCATATCATTAAAGCTGTTACGATATAAGAGAATAATTACAAAGATCAAATCATCAATTTGGAACCAGTCCATAAGGGTGTTAACTCATATCATTTTAAACAGAGTAAACATGCACCCTTCTGGCTCTCAACAGAATAAATGAACATACTAAAAAGATAAAATGAAAATTAATTACCCTGTATATCAAAGGTTAATGTTATAAGCTTTGCTTTAAAAAAATATAAAGATCAAACCGAGATATAATATTGATCAAACAAAACATAATTAAGATCAAATAGTAGTTAGCTCAGATCATTACAAAACATTTCTTCAGACACACAAAATGATTCTGTTATGATATTTGTATGCAGATCAAACATGGCCATTAAACCATGTACATAAAAGATGAAAATAATTTGTGCATACATCAATATGACCATGGACCTATAACGGATGGACATTCAACGTTATTCTTTCTTTGATCCAATGATAGTCGCCGCCTTCTGATTATGTGCATCTTAATGAGAACATTCAGCTGTTTTAACAATAACGACTGTGTAAGCATTTTCGGTCATTGACAAAGGAGCAGTTTCCCTCTCTTGGGTTTTTTTTGGATGGTGTGCTCTGTAAGAGTGTCTTAAATAATAAAAAATCCCCAATGGGGAGCAGCAAAGTTGAAAAGCAGACGATTTTGGGGATTTGAAATTTATTATTGCTGATTTGCACACTTTTGCACGCACCAATGACCTTATAAAACAATTAGAAGGCCATGATCTTTATAAGCCCTGTGCATTGTAATTCTGGAATATTATGAGGACATTGGGGAAAACAGGATTTTAAATCACAAACAGTCCAAACAAAACCTATCTGGTAATATCAACATGTTTTTCAAAAATAGAACACAGTACACGGAACAACAATTTCCAATTATTAACCAGAACTGCACATCGATTTCCCATGATTTAATTATTGAGATTGTTATTGAGACGACATTGACACAGACAATCACAATGAATTCGTTAAGGAAACGATGAATGTCCACTTGTAATAGGTCCATGATATGACAGAGTGAGCCAGGAGCCTTGTGCCTTTGTGATAGCAATTGCCATTCATGTATTCATGTCCTCCATGTGATCAAGTGGTAGGAATATTCCCCAGCTTTGACTGATTTCTCACAACCAGCATTTGTTCCAGATTCATTGAGTTGCTTTTGTTTGTGAATGATTAAATAAAACCTTTCATACAAAAAAAGGAATATTCCCCAGGGAGTGGAGATGGTGCACACTGTTGTGCATGAATGGATCTGATGACTAGGGCAATCATATCTGTAAATCTTTTAAAGATGGTATTCTGTATCGAGGATTACATGAATCCATATTTCTTCTTATAAATATTCATCTCAAATAAGGATACTAACCTTAACAGATGATGACCCAGCGAAGACATTCTCCACGTAACGTGCTACGTTAGGAGCAGCCATTCTCTCAGGGTCAGATCCCCCAATGTCCCTAGCAACAAGCCTGAAGATGACAAGAGAAAAAGAGAGAGAAAGACAGTGAGAGAGGGAGACAGAGAGAGAGACAGACAGACAGTGAGAGAGGGAGACAGAGAGAGAAAGAGAGACAGACAGTGAGAGAGGGAGACAGAGAGAGAGAGAGAGAGAAACAGAGACAGAGAAATAGAGAGAGAGAGAGAGAGACAGAGAGAGAAATAGAGAGATCAAGTGAATGCATCATAAAAATGATAGCTTAAAGGAAAAGAATAACGTTTTCCATTCATACAGGCTCCTTATTTCTTCAACCTTCAAAAACTATAAATGGTTTAATTGAAACTACCTTGGATGTCCACATTTATCCTTATTGGTATTTCATATTTTGTTTGTTAGTCTGTTCTAATACCTGATTGCTAAAAAAGCATGTGTATACTTTAAAGTAAGCAACCAAGGGATCAACGGCTGTAAGTCCTCATCGAAGGACTTGGTAATGATGAGGATTCATGCCTTGCCAAAGGGCACAAGAGTATCGACTTGGTTTCGAACCCAGGACCTCCCGATTACAAGACCACTGCTCTATACCACTGAGCCATCGGGCCTGTCTCATACAATGCCTTAGTCACACCTTTATGTATTGGGCTTGCGTATTGCCGCATATTTATGGCAAGCCGTTTTAACATCTATTCCTATTTCTTGATATCAAGAATTACCATTGCTTTACAACAGAAAATCATTTCTTGATACTAAGGCATTACATGGAGTACAAATGGGATAAGAGGATACAATTACCTTCCACTTTCGATTCCACCAATAATTTTCTTGAGCTCACTGGAAGCCCCGTCAGAGAAGATGGTCAGAGAAGACAGCTTGTTCCCCTTCTCCGGAACATCTTCACGAATCTCAAGGGGCTTGTATTAAAGATAAAAACAGGCAGGTGGATATAATCAATGACATGATCTCAAAAAACGCAGACTGTGATTAGGATAATTAGTGTATTTGTCTTCTACTGTCATTTATATGCCTTGGGTTTTTTTTAAATGAAGTTGGTAAGACGTAAAGTAATGATGATTTGGTTGAAGAATATTACTAGAAATATAATCAATGACACGATCTCAAAAACACAGATCTGCGATTAGGATCATTTGTACCTTTGTCTTCTACTGTCATTTTCTATGCCTTGGTTTTAAAAAAATTAAATGAAGTTAGTAATGTAATGTTGATTTGGCTGAAGAATATTACTAGAAATAAGGAAAGATGATAAAGTATAGGCATAATATTTGCTTTTAGAACAGAGATCTGTGATTAGGATAATTAGTGCATTTTTTTTCTACTGTCATATTCTATGCCTCGAATGTAAAAGAAATCTATAAAGTTGGTAAGACCTAAAGTTTATGTGGATTTGACCAAAGAATATTACTAGTAGTAGTACTAGAAAGTAGGAAATATATATGATAGGCATAATATTTGCTTTTATAACCGATTACTCCACTTCTAGAGTTTAATGTTGAACTGCAATGAAAGTTGTTCAGTTTACCACTACTTGTAGAAGTCCATTCATTGATAAAGGAAAACCTACTAGACTGACTTACCACATATGCAGCCTGAAGGGCCCCCAGGGCTGCAGCCAGGACTGAATTAGGGTAGCCTGGGCTTGGGCACACGATCAGAAGAGGTCTGGTCATTCCAGCAGCTATCGCTCTGTCAAGAACAAGATTCATGTTTGATAATAAGCTGGACGGAAACAACTTCAGAAAACTGACTACAGGCAAATGCTTGGGAAATGCAAATACTGCACAATGAATATAGAGCCCTCAATGTTCAGTGTGAGGCAGTGTGTACTAAAGAAATAGAGAAAATTGTGCAAAGTCAACCTGCTATCGGTATATGCTTTTTTGAAAAATAATGCCGTGGGCCAATCATCTTTAAAATACGGGAAGGATTAGTTACGTAAAATTACATTCCAAATGGCAATCAAATGAGAAAATGGGGGGGGGGGGGGGGGGGTAGGGGTGAGGGGTGGGGGGAGTTTACCACATGGGTGGATGAGGTTTGATATTTACCTCTTAATCCCAGCTCCTGCTGCATCTGCAAAGTTCCTATGATCATCATAATCCCTGTTGATGGGTCCGGTCGGGGAGAAGACTACCCTACGATATCCTGACACTGCAGAGTCTACAGGGATGAAGGACACTCCCTTCCCTACTGAAGCATCAAGCTAACAAATAAACAAACAAATATACATACAGACATACACACAGACATACAAACAAGACATTATTGCTTTATGCCACATGAACAAGACTTTGGATTCATATCTCGACCTGAAGGAGTCTTTTCCTCGTAAATTTCAAATTTTATCTAATATTAAAATAAACAATCAAATAAAGTGTTGATTTTACCATACATGGATAGACTGAATAAAATATAATACACTTTTCTGCACCATTCAGGTGTCTTTTCTTACTTTATCCATTCTTCCTTTTAAGATTTTAAAATCATTAACCCTTTCGTGACAATCATTCCACATTTTGTTATTTGGTTCTATAACTGATGATTCAGAGCCCTACGAAATATGCCAGCTAGATGCACAAGTAGAAAGCGCAAACATTTCTGCACACACATGCATCCATTTTATGTCCATGTCTTTGATGCATTTGATGCTAGGAATTTAAAAAAGGAAAATAAGCTTTAAAATCCTTTAAATGGAAACACATTGAGAGATTCAAAATCTTTTTATTTCAATCAAGATTGGCACGTTTTTTCACCTTTATACAACATATTTACACATGTACAAGTAGGGTAGAGTGCCCAGTATTTGGTCACTTAAGAGGAAATCACTATAAATATTTTGAATTCTTACCTCTTTTATATGGCAATCTACCCATCAAAAGCAAAGAAATTTATTCCTCTAACAGGATTTTATAGTCACCTAAAATATAGAATAATGATAAGCAAAATACTTCCGAAAGAAGACGGAGCATTTTTCTGCCCAGAATTCGGTCGCGCCGATGAGAATTCGGTCACGCGATTTGTGCGTGGTATCTCCGTTGCCAAGGAGCGAAGCGTATTTGCGCACTATTTTCACACAATTGCGCGATAAAGCACTGAATGTCAATGCATTGACCGAATACTGGCCGAGCGATACCACATGGCAAGGGTATCGTAAAAATACCTCTCGCACATCGGCAAGTGCGTCATTTGCAAATTCACTGCGATGGAGTGAACACGGAAGTGATTCTCTTCACACACATACTAAATTCATTGCGACAGCACACATAGTTGTTTCGCAATAGACTTCTACATATGGCTATGCATGTTAGTGCATGTGCTAAGAGAACGCGGAAGTGCAGAAAGATGTGCGACACTGACCAATTTCAAGCTAAGTTGGAGATCTTTCCGGGGCCCTAAATCTGATTTAATTTTGAGAGTTAAGAAAGTTGTTCAGCTGCCTGATTTGTGCAAGTTTCGTGGCTCTTAAATTATTGTTTAAATTGTTACAGCTGTTGAAACGGCTGTCTGACCGAATACTGGGCGCGCTACCCTACAGTACCTGTATATTAACAGTAGTCTTGCGGGTGCACCATGTGAGAGAGAGAGAGAGAGAGAGGGTTGAGGAGTCCTGAAAAGGACTCTGACTTGGTAATCTTTCTTGGGGGTGTGTAGTCCTGAAAAGGACTGTTTGTTATCTTTCTTAGCTTATAGTTCTAAGGAGAACTATAGCGCTTGGAGAGGATGAGTGGCTCGACGTTTCGAACAGGTTGACTATCCGTCATCACCTGTATATTGTTTTTAGAGACATTACATCTTATTCAAACAATGTGGCAATATATTATTGTTGCCAATTTGAAGAACTATATGAGATCAATTTAGCCTTAATACCTTCTGATGTCTGGAAACAGCATCCCTAATCTCTTTCAGGTCAGCAGGTACAAGATCAAGATCCTTAGCGACAAGGATACATCCATCGATGTTATCTGTCACTGTCGGCGAGATGGTAGATGTGACATTCACTCCACAAGGCAATCTGAAATGAATAAAGAGTTACAATCATATCAAATACATTGTAGCCACAATGTTGTTCATTTTTTAAATATGAATTTCTAGACAAAATACAAAAATATGTCAATCAATCTTCACTGTCTGCCCACCAACAGGAGCCAAGCTAGGGCACTGTTTCATTCAACATCCCAAAGAATTGTGTATTAGATTAAAATGGCCTCCAATGGGATGTCAGCAACCTTAATCCTTAGAGGAGGTTTAAACCCTCATTTATATAACCCATGGTTCAAGATTAGTGCAAATAAAGCCTACCTTGCCTGGCCTTGCACGCGCGCCTCTGACTGTGTCGCATCTATTTTGTGCTAATCCTAGACCATGGGTTATGTAAATGAAGATATAAACCATGGGTTAAATTTAAACCTCCTTTGCAAGCTTTCTGAATTCGGGCCTAAAACTTCTAACTTATGTTATAATCGTCTTTGATCTTACAATAATCCATATTCGTATGAGAATACACTCAACGATGGCCTGTGCTTGTAAGTTGTAGCGAAGAAGATCTATACTGATCCGAGAAACAATGCTCTGATATTAATTTCATTCTCAGTCTCAATTTCAGTCAAAGCTAAAATGCATTTTGCCTCCAACAATTAGGACAACAAACACCTTCTGCAATTATGAAAGAGTGATGGCCTAAGGTGACCTTGAGAAGCTCAGTCAGTAGAGCATCCGCCTCACAACCGGGAGGTCGTGGGTTCGAACCCCGGCCACGTCATACCAAAAAACGTTAAAAGACGGGACTTGCTGCTACCTTGTTTGGCGTTCAACAGTAAGGAATAGAGCAACGTCGATCTGGCGCTGCTCAGTGGCTGCCGGGCTAACGATCAATTGGGCAAAAAGAATTTCCATTTTCGGTTTAACTTTTGTAAATTTGGAGTGGACTTTAAAAGATTATTATTATTAATTATTATTATTACAAGTGCTTGATCTCCAACATGATCTCTGTGAGTGTAAAACATTTCTCCATGCTCTATTCAAGCAAACCACTTACATCAAAGCCTGGTAAACCATCCTCAGTAAAATACAAACTGGCATATCTCCACTCACTCACACTGCAACCAATCCCATAAAGATATTGGAAAAAGCTAGTAAAAGCAACAGTGGGAGAAGTAGTAAATAGCAACACACTTGAGGCAATCCAAGTGAAAACAACACTTTCCCTTTGAAAAAATATGAAGATCCCAAACCCCACCTGCTTGTATCCTCGCGACAGCAGCTTAAAATTCCTCCGACAAGGTGTGGTCATCAGGGCACAACTCTTGTGCCAAACATATCTTGTTCAGACAAGATTAGTAACCATCAGAGGTAGAGGTGTTGTGGTCGAGTGGATACGTCGCCGGACTGTCGATCACAAGGTCCGCGGTTCGAGTCCTGCCGCCGCACTAATGTCCTTTGGCAAGACATTTATCTACATTTGCCACAATCCACCCAGGTGAAGTAAATGGGTACCTGGTAGGAATTTATTCCTTGAAATGCTAGAGCGCCGTATGGCAGCCGTGCTAAAGCCAGGGTAATAATCGGGAGTGCCAGGAGGGTCAAATCTGACTGACATGAGCGCTATACAAGAACCCACTATTATTATTATTATTATTATTATCAAAAAGGCCACAATAGCTACCTGTCAGCTTTGTCATTAAGAAGAGGAAGACACAATTCACTTTGTGGTGTGACATGTACACAGCTGGAGCTAGAGACGCACAGACAAGACTTCCAAAACAAGCTGAGGACCTGCCAGAAGAGATCTTGCCCCTCTACAATACCACCAAGGGCAAAGCATTCACGAAAGCCACACTGTTACCCAACTCCCTTCTCCTCCCTTCTCAAATATGTGATGAACTAAATACTGCAACACTAATTTTACAAGATTCATGTAAACCATACCGCATCTGTTTCCTCTCAATAATTATGAATTGGATGGCCTGCCTTTAGACACATCTACTTGCAACATCCTGTTGCTGATCTCCGAAAAAAGCAGAGGGAGAACAATTAAGAAGAAGAAGAAGGTGCAGGGATGACAGGTGAAGGATCAGGAGTTAATTCCTTCATCTGTATTTAACTGTAACATTGTTTTCAGAATTCAGAGTATACCACTACTAGACTAGTACTACTATAGACCGAATTTTCCGTCTCTTTCGTTCGTTAGCCTCTTATTGGGGTAGGGTCGGCCGGCTCTCTCTTTAGAGACGGAAACCGTCTATACACATTCCCTTGATAACGCCACGGCCATTTCAGGTCGTAGCGTTTTGCCCCCAAAATCCCCCAAAATGTCATTTTACCTCGTGCATTTTATATTGTAAATTAGGCCTAGGCTATAATAAATCAGTTCCACTTACCAACTTGACTGAAATAATCAGTTTAATAGTCCCTTTTTAGGAATTTATGGGTCAAAATCGAAATCCATTTTGAAAATCTTTTTCAACATGGATTTCGATTTTGACCCATAAATTCCTAAAAAGGGACTATTAAACTGATTATTTCAGTCAAGTTGGTAAGTGGAACTGATTTATTATAGCCTAGACCTAGATCTAGGCCTAATTTACATGTGGATGTGCACGAGGTAAAATGACATTTTGGGGGATTTTGGGGGCAAAACGCTACGACCTGAAATGGCCGTGGCGTTATCAAGGGAATGTGTATAGACGGTTTCCGTCTCTAAAGAGAGAGCCGGCCGACCCTACCCCAATAAGAGGCTAACGAACGAAAGAGACGGAAAATTCGGTCTAGTACTACTACTAGGCCCTACTAACAAGTCTTTGTCTGTCACGTCTTTAAAGTGGTTAACGTGTACGTTTATTATCCATTTTATGCAAGTAAGCAGTTAGCAGTAATAGATCTAGGCCTAGTTAGCAGAGGGCAAATCAAAATGAGGAGTGATCCCGCTTGCAAAGCACCGCGCCGCGCACCAGCTCGCCAGCGGACCCCGATACAGTGAGGCCGAACAACTGGGCAGCCAAGTAACCTAGCTTACTGTTGCACTACAGAACATCTGCAGCAGCTGGCCACTCGAACATTCAACATTCTGTACTTCAAAATTCAATAAGATTCTTCAAAATGTAAAGAAATGCATGAACTTACAATTTATCCGCCTCCATCGGAATAATTTTCAACGCTGGTAGGGTAACAATGAAATGTGAAACGGCGTAGATCTTTTTTCAAAATCCTATCTCGCTTTGCCTTTATTTTAGCAAGTTTAGGAAGTGTAGCAAAGCGCTGGCCTGGATCAGGTGATCAACTCGTGACATTCGTCTAGCTAGTAGGATCTCGACGTGTGTGCATGTGTACTCGAGTCACGCAAGGTGGGCGTGGCTCACTGCATTAAAACTGAAATTCAGGGGGAGTGGGTATTTTCAATTTGCATAACCAAAACTGGTATTAGGTCTACGTAATTACACAAAAGAAAGTGGGGGGGATGTTCAAAAACTAAGTTCTTAAAAATACTGGTAAAACTTTTTGAAACCATATATTTTAAGGCCACTGCAGATTAAACAAATGATTTTCCCTAATTGTTAATGGTTTGCTGGGTTTGCCCCCCCCCCTAGAATCAAGTGAAGTATGTAGAGAATTTATTGCAATTTCTGAGAAACATTTATAACTTCTGCCTCCACAAATTCATTTTGTTTTAAATAATAATCCTCTTATTTACAGTATTTGTATGGCTTAAATAGCTTTCTGACAAGTAGTCTTTCGATCTCGATATGCCTCCATATATTGCATCAGATTTTAATAGTGTGGGGATTTATTTTGAACTAGTTCTTAAACTCCCCTTCATATATGGTTCATCCCTTTCATACTAATAGGTCATCCCTCATCATTCACATTCACCCTTTTCATCCACCATCCTTTCATCCAGCTATCTCCCTGATTGGTTTCAATGTTCACCAGGTGCAGTCAAGCTTAAAGTGTAATTTACATATACTATGAATAGTCAATTATACCTTTTTTTTATGTTTGAATATTCAAGAATTGTGATGTTGATTTATACATGTATGTGACTATATTTGTTTCTTCTCATTTGCATGGAATTTGTGGAATGCTACATAGAATGTATCAATCTGGCAACATGGCTGCTGGGCTGCCCGTGTCAAGAGTGCTATAGGAATTGTGTGAGAACCCAGACTCTACACATTCAGCCAAATGATATACGGTTATATGATCAAATCAGTTTAAACATTAGCATATCTTAGCATATACATTAAAACAAAATAACTAAGTAATAAACTCTCTATTTATGCTTCAATATTTTGTCAGAACAGCTTTTATAGCCGCCTCATTTAGCTTTTATAGCTGTTATGTATATTTTATTATGTTCCTATTCCTTTTTCTCTCTCTCCCCTCTACCTTCCTCACGTTAACTCCTTTCTTTGATCATATCTTCTCTCTATCTCAGTCATTCTTGTATTCTATCTCACTCACAATGTAGTTCTATTAACATACAATTCTTAAATGTATTATCTATGATGGTATTATCTCCCAGCTCAGACGTTGATTGCAACATTTTCCAGCATCTCTGTCCTCTGCAATTCTAGTGAACTCTTGTATCGTTTTTCCACTCCACTGGTCTTAAGAACCCTTAGTAGTGGGTCTGGCTTCATCAGGAATATGATACTATTCGGGCGTTTCCCAATAACAGGTGTTTTCAGGTACCAAGAGTGCATGGACTTCACTTTTTGACGGCCGATAGATCTTGTGTAATGCATTGTGCTCCTAGCCTACCGCTATTAATAAAAAGGAAAATAATAATTACAGTGCTTATATAGCGCCTATCACTTACTTTGTCAGAAGTCTCTAAGCGCTCTACAATAATGCAGCATAATTACCCTGGCTTTAGCAGTGCAGCACCCACTGCGTTTAGGAATAAATTCCTACCAGGTACCCATTTACTTCATCCTCCTTATATAGTATCAACCTTCCTCACCCTCTGATATGAAGGCAATGTAACGTGCTTATTTAACCGAGGGAAATTATAGTTGGCCAAAATCAATCATCAAACATGCTGCATCAAAAACAATCTAAACTCTCCAACAAAACTCAAGTAACTCAGGACAGTAGATAAAACAACCTCACACCAAGAAGGACAGAACAGAACTGTCTTTAATATACAAAATTATAACATGTCTCTTAGTACAAATCAGGCATCATAACAAAATAAACCAATCAGGGGAAAGTCATGTGATAAGAGAAACCAATGAGGTGAACAGGCTAGATAGGTCAAAGGTGAGAGGCAAAGAGAACGAATGAGAGAAGAGAAAGTGCATGTTGCTAGGGCAGGAAAAGGCAACCATGCATAGAGAATGAGAAGACAACAAAGGGAATGGGTTTGAAGGAGAGAGAGGAAAATAAGGTGTGGCAGTAGTGCAACTGAAAGACTGTGCTGTAAGAAGGTGAATGAAATGGGAACATGAGCTGGGAAAATGAATATGCAAATGAAGAATGCAAATATATAAATGAATATGTAATAATGGATAAGGAAGAGAGAAGAAATTTACTAACTGAAATATAAAGACAAATTCAAACTCTTACAGCAAGTTGGAGTATTTTCTGGCGGGACAATGGGTTCGCTGCTTCTGAGACTTAATTGTGCACACACAGACACATTAAAGGCCATCTGTACTAGTTTGGCTAGAAGGGATTAGACCACCCAGAGAGGTCACTGGTGGCTATCTCATCAACTCAGCCCTCAACATAAGAAAAAGAGGATCATGAAGCCAATGGTCACCGATTAGGCATTGTTTTCTATATTGAGGGAGCAAGTAGCTACAAGTAGTACAGTGGGGGTTTCTTACACCAAATCTGGTGTAAGCAAATTATGATCATGCAATACACATGGACACCAACTACGATGTGGCTTTAATGTTTTACTTTCTCAGCTTCCCTCTTAATTGTCTAGTAGGAAGTCTGATTTAATCAAACAAAATGACTTTCATGTCTGGTTTTATGCTATGTCAGCACAATTGAACATGATTTAGTGCATCAATTGGAACTACATTACTGTGTACAAAGTGCAGCTAGTCTGCAAGATACATTTGCATATTGAATTTAAATGCATTTATCCCCTATACCACCACATACAACAGTGTGTGTGTGTGTGTGTGTGTGTGTGTGCGTGTGTGTGTGTGTGTCTGTATGTCTGTCTCTCTCTCTCTCTCTCTCTCTCCTAATTCATTTCTCTCTAAAGAAGGAATTGCGAAAAAAGAAGTTCCTAAACTTTTTTTTTTCCTGATACTAATATTTGACCTAGCTGTCATAAAGATTTTATTTTATTTTTATGAATGTAATAAGCCCATCAATTGTGAATTGTGCATGTAATAGGAAGGAATCAGAAGCAGAGTGTTATCAGGCATATGCATGAGAGAAAAAAAAAGTGATATGGTACAGTTGATTTAATGCTTGTAAAAAGAATTCAAAAATGAATGAAACAAACTTTTAAAGGAGGAAACATGAAATTATCAAAAAAGGTTGTGATATTTATTAGGAACCAAGCAAACTCTTGAGTCAGCACAGGCGCGGATCCAGGAACCCATTTCTATCGGCCCGGCTATGGCAACCCCTTTGTGTAAAAACTAGATAAACTCAGTTTATCAGAAAAACTGTGTTTATCAATGATAAACTCAGTTTATCAACTGATAAACTGAGTTTTTCTGATAAACTGTGTTTATCTGTTGATAAACTGAGTTTATCTGAGAAAAACAGAGTTTATCTGAGAAAAACAGAGTTTATCTAGTTTTTACACAAAGGGGTTGCCATAGCCGGGCCGATAGAAATGGGTTCCTGGATCCGCGCCTGAGTCAGCAATATATGCTTCAAGTATAAATTAACTCTGGATTCTACAGTTTCATTTAAAAAGGAGAAGAAAAAAAACTTATGATTAAAAAATAAAAATAAAAGGAGTAGAACCCATGCAGTTACACTGAATAAAGCGGGTGGGCAGAGCGACTCCATTAATATGTTTCCAAAATTCAATTGGTGTCTTCCTTGTCCAACATTAAATTGCTCCAGCAACATTTGCTCTTTGCTTTGTTTCATCAAAGTTACAGCTTTTAAAATTCAAATTCAAATTCATTTATTTTACGTCTCTTCAAAAAATACAACGTATGCAACAATAAACAATTTAACAACAACATTGTACAAAAAATAGACAAATGATGAGAAAAGATGCGTACACTGTGATGAAGTAGGTGTGAGGGAGTAGCAAAGGCCATTGATCTGTCAAGGCTACTCCCTCTATTAACATTCATCACTGTCACAACTCAAAAGTTACAATAAACATGAATATAAGAAACTTTTGAGCTTAGGATGTATTTTAAGGCTTTAGGGGAGGTTTAGAGCAGGTAAAGAATAAGCGTTGAGTCCAGGGTTCACATGAAGATTTCAACTCATGGTAGAAATTGACAATGCTGAAGCTTTTGTACTAAAATCGTCTCTTTAGTGTCATATCAGCTCGTTCATCAAGTGCTGTCAGACAGAGGAAAAATGTTGTTTCTTCCACATGGGTCGCCATGGAAATATGGAAGAGAGGTACCCACTGTCCACACACAACATTTTCTGTGATTGGGGTGATTAGTTATACCGTTTCGAGATAGTTATCCGATGAAATTGTGTGTGTGGATGCTCAATAACGATACGTCGTATAACGAAACGCGGGTTTGGGCATCGTTTCGAACTAGAACTCAATAACTAATCACGCCTAATCACGGAATGTGTTGTGTGTGGTAGTGCTGTAGCCGAACCGCCGAACCGAACGGAAGTTCGCCGAACATGGCACTTCCGAACCGAACCGAACCGAACCGAACGCAAAGGCCTGGTTCGGATGTTCGGCAGAAAAATATAAAAATTTTTGCAACCTAATAAACTTGTCGTTTTGTACCTAATTTTCATGTCATGATTGCTCATTTTATATTTACTTTTTTCCCATTTTCCGCCTTTGTGAATTATGCCTATCCAGTGGTGGGCGCGACTTCACTGGCGCCATTTAAATCCTAAATCCTGACCACGCTACGTCGCGATCGCAAGCCATAAACAAGAATACATGTGCGTGATCAAAACAAACTCAGCCAATACCCATTCAACAAAAAAATAATATTTTAATTGTATCAATATCGGACAAATTTTACAATATAAATAATGAAATAAATATATATTATAGTATAGTATTTATTTATTTAGGAAAAATGGGGATTTTATATTTTTCCTATTGAAAATAAAAACTTATAAAAAAACAGTTATTGACGAGCCAGAGTCTCTATATTCAAGATGGAAGCTTTCATGACTCTAACATTAGACAACAACCGTCTCGCAAAATCTTTAAAAAATATCATTTATTGACAAATTGAAAACATGATTCTTTTAAAATTGAAAATAAAACACGATTCAAGACGGAAATACGAATGTAAGTAGTATTTTTCTTCACAAATAATTACGTTTAGAGCAGTTTTTTAATGTGAAATTCGTGCTGGTTCGGAGCAGTGTTCAGAAGTCCTCCGTGCTGGTCGGGCCCGGCAGGCCGGCCGGCGTGGCTATAACGCTGCTTGCTATTATATTACCGAACCCCGAACCGAACCAAGTTCGGGTGAAAAATTGCCGAACTCTGCCGAACCGAACCGAACACGAACATAGCATCTGACTAACAGCACTAGTGTGTGGACGTAACTAGTATAACTAGTCGAACTAGAATGGTATAACTGGGCGGGGCTTAACGTGACCTCACGCAAAAGGAGACCTGACCTCTTCCATTTCATGACCGCAGTAGCAAACTGCGCAACTATACAATGTTTCGCTGTAGAGTTTCAAGATTACTTTCTTGTGTGTGTGGACACCCTGGAATTTATACGATGATTCTCTATATGACGTTTCGTTATAGAGTTTGGGGATAAATTGTTTTGTGTGTGGACACGCTGATAGTTATTTAACCTTGTATCATCTTTGTGTTTGTATTCCATCCAGTCTCCTGATAAGATCACTGTCTGCTTGCTTCATGCTGAACTCGGGAGGTCTGAGCGCTGCTCCCATAGACACGGCTGGATTCCTGTAGGTGGTCTGTGACTGTCGGGCAGTTCTGGCGGAGCAGTGAAATTCCTTCACCCCACTACCATCGAGGATCCTCTGCAGGTTGCGCTCTGTAATGCCACCACCTGTGGACATGAATGAATGATTTATTCTAACCTATTACATTAGATATGATTTGATTTTGATTTAACACAAATACAGCAAACCTGTCTATAGGGACCGCCCAAGGGAAACACAAAAAGTGGCCTTTGTAGGCAGGTGGTCTTTATGTACAGGTTCCTTTAGTACATGTTTCAATGAGAAACCATTTTCAAGGGAAACAAAAAATGTGGTTTTCTACTTCAGGTGGTCAATAAAGCAGGTTTGACTGTATAAGCTACAACGTGAGTTATAAGCTCATATCTTCGGCTAATACTACTCAACTCTCGGGTAAAAAGCCAGCATTCCATTGCGATCAAATTAAATCAGACCAAATAAAAGCATTTAAAGCCCCACTGCACTACTTATAGCTACTTGCGCCCCGCTCTATATAGCAAACAATGCTTAATCGGTGACTTATTCGATAAGATAACCACTTGTCACTGACCCTGCAGGGAGGTCTAATCCCTCCTGGCCAAACTAGTGCATTTGGGCTTTAAGATTACTTTGAAGGTAATAAGATTTACTCCAGCTACAGCTTCAGTTCTCGTTTTTAATCTTTGAAATAACAGTTTCACTTTAATAAATGATTTTCTTTATCAGGTAAATTGCATTTTCTTTTGGCAGCTTTAGGCTTATTGAAATTTCCACAAAAGAACACTATTTTCGATGCAGTATCAAGCTGAAAATTTACCACAAAGGTCAATTAAGCATGTATATTTTTTCATTTCCAGTACCGTAAATCTCTGTGTATAAGGCGCACTTTTTTGCCGCCGAAAAAATTTGAAAGTCGGGGGTGCGTCTTATACACAGGTACAGAAAAAAAAAGTTTTTTTTTTTTATTTATTTATTTTTATTTTTTTATTTTTTTTATTTTTAGTTTCGATTTATGGCGCTATGCCTGGCAATGTCGCATATGTTTTCTATGTTTTCTATAACAAATGGTGTACCACAAGGTTCTATCCTAGGTACTCCATTATTAGAAAGATAGAGGATGCTATTCATATCATGCATGACTATTGATGTTTAGCATAGAACACAGTGCTTCTGCTAGGTGATGTGAAGAGGCTGGTGTGGGACACTTGGTATCATGAAGCCTAGACTGTTGTTACTATTATTTGTGACAAGTTCACAACTTCTACTGCACCTCGATGTAAAATGAAGGTCCTTCCCCGCGTGGGTTTTCGGCAACAAAACAACAACAACAAAACAAAAAACGATTATTTTTTTTTTTTTTTTTTTTTTCCCCCCAAAATAGGGGTGCGCCTTATACACAGGTGCGCCTTATACACGGAGATTTACGGTATACAGACTGATCCTCTACCTGTGACAAAGCCATGTTAAAGGGAGTGTAGCTTGGCAAATACTGGTTAATTAACGGCATCTACTGCTTCTTTTAAACAACTGCACGTAAATCAATGGACTTGGTTTGGTAGTCAGCAACTGAATCCCTACATGGTCAGCCTTCGCGAAACAAACCAAAGTTCTGCTCACGCTTCGGTTTCGCGTATGTTGCATGCACGTGATTGCTGGGGTCGCGTCATCCGTAGTCGGATTATACCTGATTGGCCCCCGAGTCAGGCCACTGGAAAGACACATAGTCTTGTCCGGCTACACTCCCTTTAAAGCCCCACTGCACTACTTATAGCAGGAGGGATTAGACCTCCCTGCATGGTCACTGACAGGTGGGTATCTCATCAAATCAGCTCTCAATAAACATAAGAAAAAGGGGACCATAGGAGACCAATGGTCACTGATTAAGCATTGTTTGCTATATAGAGGGTGCAAGTAGCTATAAGCAGTGCAGTGGGGCTTAAACACTCTATATTGGAGACATGGACTGACCTGGCATGATGATTATTCTCCCCTGTGACCTCGTCACAAGCTCAGCGATCATGGGCAGTCCTTCTAAGACGGTTGACTCTTGACCGCTGGTCAGCAGGCGGTCAAAACCAAGAGAGATGATGTCCTCCAGAGCAGCATACCCATCAGCACACATGTCAAAAGCTGGACAAAGAGAAATAAATAGGGAGAAACAAAACAAGTGGGTAAGAGAGTGACGGAGAGACAGAAGGGACAGAGGGAGGAGGAAGGGAGAGAGGGAAGGAGGTGGGAGGAGGGAGGAAGGAAGAGAGGGAGGGAGGGAGGGAGGGAGGGAGGGAGAGAGAGAGAGAGGGAGGAACAGAGTTAGAGAAAGACAGAAGGAGGAATTGAGATTGGGTAGGGAGGGAGGTAGTGAGGGAGGAAGAAAGTGAGGATGAGAGATAGACAGAAGGAGATGGATAGAGAGAGTGAGAAAAAAAAGAGGAATAAGATAATTAAAGAGGGGGAATGGAGTAAGGGAGGGAGAGAGAGAAAGAAAGAGAAAAGAGAGAGAGAGAGAGAAGTTCAGTTATGATGCTTATGATGCTTTTATAAGACAGTTATAAAATACAAAATTATATGAAATTCTCATGAAAAATATCTTTATACTCATATTTACAAAACCATAATGCCGTTCATGGGATTCTTTGTAGTCTCTATAGGGATACAATCTTCTTTTGAAAATGTCAGAATTTGAGGAAAAACAATATATTCTGAACAGGCCCAAGGCAAAAAATTTAGAATTCAAAACATTTATATTTCATATTCAATCAGATATATATATTTGTTATCAACTACATAAAACCAAAAAGCGATTATAAAATAAAGCAGACAACCGTGACTCATCATGTGTTACAGTTGCAGCATACTTTAAAAGCAATAAAAGAACTCTTCCCATATAATTACCTCTGTGGAATGTTGTTGGTAGTGGTCTGCATAGGGCTGAAGGGAAAGTGAACAAAATAGAATGTTTCAGCCAAAAGTACATTATAAAGTACATTTTGAAGAATTCATGGTCACTTATTTTCCCCAATAGAAATATCAACATCAAAAGAAAGTAAAACAGTATGATCCTATAATCCTATAATGTCAATAACTACTGATAATTAACATTTTTCTTTAAAAGGTGACATATTCATTTAATTCTTGATAGATTTTTAATCCTCCTGATTCCACTGAGTATACAAGCATATATCATAAATAAACATTAAAGTGTCAAAATTCAAGTGATAATGCTCTTCATCTGTTTCATTGTTACTTCGGGCAGAATATTATTTTCCATTGAACAAATATAGCATTCTGGATGTAGTGATATTTGTTTCATGATGTATGAATTACTACATGTATCAGTGTTCTTGATAGATTAAACCTATAGTTCAAACTCTGGTGTTAACTTGGGCAGGATGTGCTACTCACAGCATTGCAATGGTTTACAAGTTCTTCGTGAAATGAAAGATGACATACCCATCAATTCTCTGCATCTGTCCTTGTCAACATTTCCATCACTAAAAAGAGGATAAATAAAATGAAGCAGATCGATCATACGGATAACAATACAGTGCTAAATGACAATGCATGAAATCTGTACGGATTGTGGTGACTGGCAGCAAGAGAGCTATAAAGAAATGACTCAATTGTCCATTCAAAGCTTTATCTTACTATTAAATACAATAGCTTTTCCAACACTGTTCTTAGCCATTCAAGCAACATCTGTTCTCCAAGACACAGGAGACTGCCCAAAAAAAATGTTTGTGTTTGTGTTTTTTTTTCTTCTTTTTTTCAACATTTAAATAATCTGAATTATTGACATTTCCAATAAATTTATAATTACCAACAGTGATTCAAATAATCACTAATGTTTAAATCACCAAACCTGCTGCTAAATAATGAAATAATTTAAATGAAAGAAGGACAAAGAAGAAATTATTTCTTATAACCCTGTATTAATGGTTCAAAATTCTATACATTTACAATTACAACTGGAAACCCCCTCCCCCCCCCCCCCTGACCAGACAAAACCCTAATTTACATAATCGATTACTTTGTGAGTACTCCCAGCACAAAACCATCTGCCCCGTGTTCTTTCATCAGCTTGATGTCTTGCTTCATCACTTGGAATTCCAGGATGCTGTAAACAAAGTCCCCTCCTCTCGGTCGAATCAGAATGAAGACTGGAAGAGCTGGGCATTCTTGCTTGATCACTTGAAGCAAGCCTGTCGATAAGAAACAGTAGATCATACAGTATGAGGAGGGGGCACAGAAGGGGCACATATGAAAAGAAAGAGAAAAAAGAGAGAAAAAAGGGGAGAAGGCAAAATTTGACAAAAGGAGATGATAAGACCCCTCCCACGTACACCATTCTGATATCAATCCATGCCCTTTTTATCTCACATGTTATCCACCTAGTAGATCTAGGCATAACCCCCTATCACCCTCCCCCCCCCCCACCCCCAATGAAATAATAGCCCATTAACTGCTAGACCCATGCTATGCTCCTGGAAAGAAAAATGAAATTGGTAATAAAGGAAAGATAAATTGACTGGAAACCAAAGGACAAAATCACAAATGTCTATCATACATAATTGTTTTTTGGAATGGAGTATAGCGTCTGTCTTTGCACTTGTAATATCATACATATTCAGTATTCAATGAAGAGAACAATTTTTCATCCTTGCATATAATAATAATAATAATAATAACACACAGGCTCATTACTAAAATTACATGTCAAGGCATTTCCCCTACTATTTGTCTCTATTTGTCCCTATTACGTTTGATTTACAAACAGATCAAACCTTTTTTTTGGGGGGGGGTGGGGGCCGGGGGATGGTCCGTTCTTTTCTAGTTTCACACATTTGGAAAACAGTATGTACTCACCCAGGCTTGGAGTTGTTCCTCCTTCAAACAGATTTGCACAGAGCTCCACTCTAGCTGCCCCTAAAGATAATTAATGGGGAAAATTCAATTTCTTTATGATTCTTATTGTCATGATTACAGAGATTGAATAACAAAACACTTTTAAAATAAGGAATATGATAGAATAATTATTTTAATAATCTGCAGACCTGTACATCTTCTTAACAGAAATTGATTAACTTTTGGTGATATTTTTTTTTAGTTTGAAAGACTTTTCATATTGATTAACAGACTATTATTGATGTTTATTAGTTTATTATTATACTAGGAGGATCCTCTTACTCCTCTGCATTGTCAGAAATCTCTAAATTCATTGGTAGGTCTATAGACACTATGAATATGACGGACAAAGAAAGTGGACAAAATATACAGTTCCTCAGGTAGACAAAGGAACATCCCTATACTGCTATTATGTAAAAAGGTGAATATGCATGTGACACCTGTTCTACACATTTTTACATAATAGCAGTGAAGGAATGTTCCTTTGTCTACTTGAGGAACTGTATATTTTGTCCGCTTTCTTTGTCAATCATGTTCAGGGCCATTCCATGAGAAGAAGGACATGACATCAAAAAAAGAAATGTACCTCTTATGTTAATTCTTTGATTTATCACTAACCTTATGCCATGGATGTTCATAAAACATTAGGGCCTTTCAAATTCAATACAATTTTTTTTTTTTTTGTTGATTTCCTAAGATCTCAAACTATCATCAAAAACGTACATGTGGGACTGTAGCTGAAAAAAAAACAATTTATTGCAGATTACACAGGATTCTTGAAAAAAAAATTCCTGAAAATTTCACTAAATGGAAAAAGATGAATATATTTCCATATTCTAAGGGGTCCTGTGATATTTAATCTATTAAAAAGGGGTGAAAATGGCCTCCGGACAAAATGTAACGCGAGTTACCGTAACGTGAGTTACCGACATATTTGCTTCCTGCATTTTACTAGTCCATTGTTTCTTATCTTTAATATTGTGATCTTATACTAGTAAGTCACAACCTACTATCAAATTAAAATAGGAAAGATTTTGTCAAGATTGTCTAGTATGAGGAGAAAAGAGGGTCTCGTAGAATTGACCATGTCCTTTTTTTGTAACGCGAGTTACCGAAATTCAATAATCCAAGAATCTAAAAATGTTTGTTTTTCAATTTTCTTTTTTGTTTCATTCAGTTGTTCTATATCTACCCTGTCCATGTTTGAAAAAAGTATCTTGTAGATCCTAGCGGTTCTAAAGATATAGGCACATTATCGTGTCAATGTACCCATTAAGTGTAACGCGAGTTACCATGGAATGGCCCTTCATAGTGAGACATACAGATTTAAGCAATTTGTGCATTGGATTTCTTAGTAGAGTGATCGTCTTTCTTGATTTTCACTGTGATTCTGTTTGTGATAGCGAAGTAAAGGGTAACTGGATTTAATAATAGTAGCAATTTTGATCGCACCTACCAATTGCATACAATTACAAAGCATTTTGAGACGCGTCCCTCGGTTAGTTACCAACTTACCAAGCAGTGATTTTGTGAGTTCCATGTACATTGACCAAAACATTAGTAATTTTGGTCTGATTCATATTCATAATATCCATGGTATTTTTTTATTATTACAAATTTTACAGTCTAACACTTAATTATACTGGCACGACTAGCAAACGTCAAAAGTCACCAAAAGGCAAAAGTGAACTTCAAAGTTCAACTTACAACGATTACGATAATGTTGTATTTTTGTAATCATTTAAGAAATTTTAGTTCTGTGGCTGTCTGCATCGCATCAGCACCATCTAGCCCACTTCAGCTTGGAAAAGGTGCTTGGATTATCTTGGAAAAGTTGCTTCACAGATTATCTCGTCAATCAGGTTCATTGCATTGTACCAAAGTGAAACGAACCTCTTTTCACTCAGCTCAGCTCGAGCTCAGCTCAAGTCTTCACCGGGCCACCTCCTCCACGACCGAAGATTCCCGGAGCGCGAGCGAGCTGGGCCGGGCTCCTTTCCTCGACACTTTGGCCACGAGGCCGAGGCGATCGCGAGGTACCAAGAAGGACGGACAAATTTAAGGCATAATTCCGGAAATGTGATCAGTAAATATAAAAATTAAACAAAGAAAAGGTATCATGATTACCTCCATCCTGAGCAGCGATTGCTGATTCAACTGAATCTATACAAATCTCCATACTTAAAATCAGATCCAGATACAGTTTTGACGAATGCTCTTCTTGCTTCTAATTTTGCGACAACAACAAGTGGGCGTGGCTTGAAACACGCGGTGTTTTCAATGTCTCTTTTCAGGCGCCACTAAAGTGTTATTAAGTTTTAAAATGCTAAATAATAGCAATATTACGACTTACTTGTTCAATAAAATATGTCATATAATTTATCAAGAATCATGAAAGGAATAAAATATATTTTCATCAGATTCGGACATTTAATCATAAAATACATGTACTTGTATTCATTCATGATATAAACATCTATAAACACTTTTGCCTGAATTCGAAACTTCGTCGTCAGCTCAGAGAAAGAAAAACTCAGGTGAGTTCATGCTTGATATCCCCTAAAATGTCCATATCACCTTATCAATAGGTAGTTAGTTTTATAATGAACTTAATTCATAACATTCAAGTTGTTGTCAAAGATTATTTGCATTCAATTTGTTTGTCTAAAATAGATTATATATTGACATAATTTTTAGCAACAAAAACATGACACCATATTGTTGATGTGGGACAGTAGTAAATTGATTGAAGGGCTGTACTGTGTTTTGTTATTGTTGACAAAACTCAAAAGTAAACAGTCTCGATTTTGTTTGCATTAAGTTTCCCCCACAGAGTACACAAGCTGGGTCATGTATAGGTACATAAATAATAAGAGGATATATTGGAATGTATTGTTACTAAGCCGAATGCATCGAGTCAATGTTCATGATGCAGACTAGTCTAGATCTAGATCTAGGCACTCCAGCAAAGCATAGAGTCAATACTAATGTGTATTGACCTCTAGCACTGCATGCTTGCTGTGATGGAGGTATTATTAGACCTATACACAAATATACACACCACACAATATTGCAAAGACTGTACACAATCATATTGATGCAGCTGTAAGCAAAGTTTGACGCTAGACTTGCAATTTAAATTTTTAAATTATTCTTTTTAACATCAGTAAGTTGAAAAAAATGTATTTTACTGCTATTTAGGTGTCATCAATTGTCACTAAAGTACTGATTTTGAGTGAAATTAGTTGAGTTTTGTACAGTGGTGTTTGAAATGTTGAGAATCAAAAGCACAGCTTTTACTACACAGCCAGGATAGTGATGCTTCTATGTGTGGATCTAGGCATAGTCTATGGTGCTATGGAATGGAAAGTTTTTGTTTTTTTTAAATCAAAATCTAACTTTGAGAGGTTACATACAATAAATTGTTGTTATATTATCTATTCTTATTCTCCATTTGTTATTCTCAAAATATACTTATTATTTCTTTTTCTTTTTAAAAAAGCAATTTCACTAGATCTATGCCCATCTGTATTAAACAAAATAAAAAAAAAGTACTTATCAAAGTATCACTATCATCTGTCACATCATGTTTATTTCACATTTTTATAACCTATGATTATTGCTCTTTTTTATAAATCTACCAGTGTTAGTAAAACAATGGAACATCATATTATTATTTTTCCCCTGTCATTTAATTATACTGATTCAAGAAATTTCAATTCAGTTATGTTTCGAAAATTCATAACATCATAATGTCTATTGTTATTTTCTGTCACTTTTTTTAGTACTTTCTGCCGGCAGCATGGCTTCACAGAAGCGCCAAGGCTCAGGGGATGACACAAACACCCCAAACAAGAAACGTCAGAAACAAAATGATTCTGATAGGTCATCTGGAATATTCTCTGGTCTAAGTGTCTTCATGCTCCAAGCAGGTCTTGGGAAAGCGAGGACAGACATCTTCAAGAAGCAATTGGTGAAACATGGAGCTGTGGTGAAGCCAGCCGTAGATGACCAGACAACCCATGTCATTGTCGATGAGGAGATGACATTCCCAAGGTTTTGCCGGATCATGAAGTACGAGGAGTCTCAAGTAACCGATCGACTGAAGATCATCAAAGCCCGATGGTTGAGCTCTTGCCTGTCAGAAGCGTCATTGGTGGATCTTGAAGAGTTCATCCTTGCTCCTGTGAGGTCGGAAAAGTTCAAGTTATTCACGCCGCCGAAAGAAGAGACGAAAAGTAAGAGTGAGGACATGGAGAGCCGTGACGGCAAGCCAGAGCCTCTCCAAGTCCAAGGTTCAAACATGCCGGGAACATCAAAGCAGATCCCTGGTACGGGAGCATCCACAGTGACTACAAGTCCCTCCAAGAGGGTTGCAGCGAGGGGCTCTGACAGTGATGATAGCAACTATGTACCCAGTGATGATGACGATGATGGAGGAGGGAGCGGTGATAAGGAGGAGTCAAGAGGGAAAATATTTTCTTCAGATGCAGACTCGTCTTCTAATGTTTCTACTCCAAACACCTCACCATCCAAACTGCCAGTAAGCATCTGTATGAATTGTAGAGCCTTACAATATTGTATTAAGTTACATAGCAGTAAAACTCTGTCTATAAGTTCTAACTGAAGAGAAACAGCAAAAGTGGCCGCTATAGACAGGTGGCTGTTTTATTCACAAGGTGCTTGAAGTTTCATGACAGTTATGATAATGGTATGATGAATATCACAATTGTTATGCATTTTGTGATTTATTTTTTCCTCTTTTGTGAAAAAGCAAGATCTTGTGGAGAAGCTATAGAGTATATGGTCAAAGCAGTATAGTGATTTAAGAGGTGAAAGTATGCAAACTTGATGGCCCATGTTCTCCTAAAATTTTAATCCAATGCTGGGTTAAAACTTTTGTTCAAAATCAGTTTAAACGAAGGAAGTTAGTTTAAGGTCAAGACTTTCTTTGTTAAACCTGTTGACTGTTGCATTATCAAAGTATCATAGGCTTAAGACAGGGACCATCAGGTTCCCATAGGCCCGTAGGGAACCGGTTAAGTATGATTTTAGAATAGATCAAAGGTCAGATTTGAGTAAATAGTTTTAACCCAAAGACAAGAGTTCATTTTCATTTCCAATCCATAGTTTCGGCAGAGACTGCTGATTTTGACAATACCCTTTTTGTCTTGGGACACCTACAGTACAACAGGCTCATATCCACATCAGAGGGACCTGCATCCAAAAGTTTAGACATTTTCTTTAGTAATAATTTCATCTATCTTGTGAATCAATTTTCAGAGAGGAAACTGGGTTTGTTCTCGGCCATCAACAGCTTACAAGGAAACTCACAACCAGCACATCACAGAGAAACTAGAGGTATGATAACATGTCATAGAATTGTACTGATTGCATAGGTTAGTGGTACTTCTATTTTCAAAAGTTTTCAGTGAAAATATAAGTAGATGAATTGTGCATAACTGTATGAAAATATTCTAGGAAACTACAGAGAAATTAGCGAGTTAGAAGCTGTGTGAAAACATAATTGAGCTTCCTTACTCTCTTTTGTTTGCTTTTGCCTTATATATGTCAGTAACTGAAAATGTGTGTAACTTTTCAAGAAAAATACATAGTGGTTTTAAATTTTGGTTAAGCTTAGTTTGTATACAATTAAGATATTTTGACATTTTTAAATATTTTATTCATTTCTTGAGATTTGCTACTCAAGAGGATAATTATTACGAATACTCTTTATTGGAGCCTTTGCCCCCAGATGGTTCCTGTCATTCAACATCTACTAAAAGCACAACAGTCGTTCAATCTCCCTGCAGATGTCAGCCTACACTCTTTGAATTTGACTGTCTGTATGTCACCCACTATTTGCTTTATCAACAAATATTCTGTATCTATTCATCGCGTTGTGGATTATTTTACTATCAGGTTTTAATGAAAGCCTACGAGAACACCCAGGACAGATGGAGAGCTCTTGGGTACAAGAAAGCTATATCTGCACTCAAGAACTATGGCAAGGACGTCACAACGTGGGAAGTAAGTTTCCAGTCCTCAGCACTGCATCTAGAACTTGCCAATATGATCTGCTTTGTGATCGATATCATAAACGTCAGAATACATTTAATACAAAACATTTGAACATGTAGGTTACCAGAAACTTTAATGATAGAGTAAAATGACAATTGCCACATGATAAGATACATTCTTAATAACACAACAATAACATTTGAAATGAACAGAGTCTTAGCGGAAGATTGTAGATCAAGGCAAGAAATTAGCTGGAGGATAATAATTAGAGGGTAGGAGAACTACTGGATGTGACACACAAGTTCAAAGGTTACAAAACGTTTTGAGATATATACTGGAGGGAAAGATAGATAGCAAGAAGGGCAAAGGTCCATTGAGGTACTATTTGAATAACAAAATAGTCAAACCTACAGTAGATTAATGGAAAAAGGGTACATGATAAAGATGAATGGAGATAACTTTATCATCAGATGTTTCTTGTATCCTCTCCCCTCATCTTCTTGTATTCTGTTATTTTTTAAACATTGATCAGTCAATATTCTGTTTTCGTACTCGAGTACTTTTATTAAGCAGCATTTGAGCAGTACTTGGACAGAACATCAAAGTAGTCTCCCAGATCAAAGTATTGTCTAACTTCTCAGTTTTCCATTTTCTTTTTCTTCCCAGGAAGCCAGTGCCATCCCTGGGATCGGAACCAAGATGGCCGACAAGATCTTGGAGATCATAGAGAGCGGGCACCTGAGGAAGATAGACCATGTCTGTAAGGGAGAGGACATGGAGGCCATAGATCTCTTCAATAATGTATGGGGAGCCGGACCTACGGTGGCCAGGGAGTGGGTGCAACAGGTAAAGTGCTTGAAGACATCCGTGATTTGATTTGATCTCAGAAGGATGCTGAGAAGGATGCTAATAATTTCATGGACAAAAAGAGTTTCTAATAATGAGGTATTTGCCATGTCAGGAACAAGACGAAAGCTTCTGAATAATATAAGAGGTCGCCAGCTGAGCTTCTTGGGTCATGTTATTCGGAAGAATGGTTTGGAAAATCTTGCACTGACTGGAAGAATTGAGGGGAGGAGGAGTAGGGGTAGAAGGAGGATTCTGTGGATGAGTAGGTTAAAGAGTGGGATTTCTGAAAGTGGAATTGATCTCGGGGAGAATGATTTACTTCATAGAATATGAGACAGAGAGTTGTGGCATTCCATGGTCGCCAACGTCTCAGGACATGTCACTTTAAAATAAAGAAGAAGGAGAAGGTACACTGTATAAATGGAGTAAAAGAATGAGAGGCATTAGAGCAACAATGAAAGACAGACTAGTAATCGGAACAGAGAGACAGAAAAACAAACGTAAGGACCTTATCTCTTCAATAATGTATGGGGAGCTGGATCTCCAGTGGCTAGGGAGTGGGTGCAACAGGTAAAGTGCTTGAAGAAATTTGTGTTTTGGTCCTTTGGAATTGGTAGGACAATGGTAGAGCCATAATGAAGTTAACAGATAAAGGGAGAGAAAGACAGACAGACAGACAGGCAGACGGAGAGATATAGAGCAAAGGAGAATACAAAAAACAACAAAGTATAAATTATAGAAAGAGAAGAGAGAAAAACCTTGTTACACAAATGTACATTTAAAAAATCAAAAGGTGTAGAGACGAAAAGTTGAAGGAAGAATGAATAACAGTCATGAGTATGAACACAGTGGGTCTAATCACAAATTTATAAATGGAATTGTGGAAAATGGAATTGTCTGTATTTTAGTATGAAATAAAACAGTATTGATCTTTCATGTGTATGGTATGTAATAAAAGACTGCCATCTACTGTTTATTTGATCTAAATCTCAGAAGTCCAGTATGCTGATGTATTCAAACGGTATGTAAAGTTGTTACACAAACTGGATTTTGTTTACAGAAAGCTTGCATGAGCCTTGTTCAACATAGCAGCAACTAACGTACACTCATGTAGATCCAACTAAAATATCTACAATTTATAAACTGTTGCACTGTACTGTAAAATGTGCTTTTACCAGTCTTGGCTTTGCAAAGAAAGGCCCAGATATCTGAACTGATTTCTAAAAAAATAATCTTCCCTTTCCTTAATGAATACAATATATCATGAAATATCTTATGGGCTTTTCTGTTTAAAATTTTACAATTTTTTTTCTTCTTCAGAGCTATGACCAATGTATTTTTTAACTTGGTGAAAGAGAATTGAACACAGAGCGAGAAAAACTTGTAAGAGAAAGAGAAAGATAATCAAAACAATTATTGAAAGTTTAAAATTATTTTTTGTTTTTTGTTTCAGGGTTTCAGGACCTTAGAAGATTTGAGAGAGAAAGCCAAGTTGAGCAAACAGCAGCTGATAGGTCTGAAACACTATCATGAGTTCCTTGAAAGAATGCCCAGGCAAGAAGCAGGAGATATTGAAAGGACTGTAAGTACAGGAGGAAGACGATGATGACGATGACGATGATGATGATGATGATGGTGATGATGATGGTGATGATGGTGATGATGATGATGATGATGGTGATGATGATGATGATGATGATGATGGTGAGGATGGTGATGATGATGATGATGATGACGATGATGATGATGATGGTGATGATGATGGTGATGATGATGATGATGATGATGATAGTGATAGTGATGATGATGATGATGATGATGATGATGGTGATGATGATAGTGATGATGATGATGATGATGATGATGGTGATGATGATGATGATGATGATAGTGATGATAGTGATGATGATGATGATGATGATGGTGATGATGATGATGATGATGAAAGCCAAGTTGAGCAAACAGCAGCTGATAGGTTTCAAACACTATCATGAGTTCCTTGAAAGAATGCCCAGGGAAGAAGCAGGAGATATTGAAAGAACTGTAAGTACAGGAGGAATACACCCTTTCATGGTTAAGGCCGCCATTTTAATATGCGAGTAGACATTGCATCATCAATGTTTTCAGATGTGCATGTATTGTTGCATTACTGACTGCGCTGTGCGCTAACATCTTTTGACATGGGCGCCATTTTAAATTACGAATTTAAAATGGTGCCAATGTCAGCGCATGCGCACTCTTGTAACCATGATGAAGATGGTCATAGTGGTGATGATGAGGATGAGGAGGAGGAGGTTGTGATGTCATGGTATAGTGATTCATTTACTTGACTCTCAATCCAAGGTTTGAGGGCTCATATATTTCATAGGATCCGGGCTAACTCGAACCCGGGGACAACTCGGCCCTGTTGCAAAAATTGTCATTTTTGTCATTTTACCCTAACCCTAACCCTAACCCTAACTCTATCCCTAAACCTAACCCTGACCCTAAACCTAACCCTGACCCTAAACCTTACCTTAAACCTAACCCTGACCCTAAACCTAACCCTAAACCTAACCCTAAACCTAACCCTAAACCTATCCCTAAACCTGCAAAAAATGACCGTTTTTGCAGCAGGCCGCGTTGTCCCCGCGTCCGAGTTAGCCCGACTCCATTTCATATAATGAAAATTAACCATTTTGTTTGTATTGCTTTTCTTTCATGGGGCGCAAGGGTAGATCACAATCAGTTTAACAGTATTTTTACTAGTTATGCTAACTTGTGAAATGTGCTCATCAGCTTGTGTGATATACCCTTGTATCCTTATCAACAATAAAGATTCTACCGGTACTCAGTTAAATAGACTTCTTGACATTCAATGCCAACACTTTGAATCCTTCATTTTAAAGGAATCGTTTAACAATGTTAAATCTGAGATGCACGGCCCTACGTGTTATCAGTGTTTGTGATATGGTGTAATATTGAAGCCCTAAAAAAATTGCGCTTCAAAATGATCAAGAATTGCCTCAAAAAAGTAAAAATCTTTGAGTGACCGGTTTTACCAAACTCGTTTTCCCCAATAGACTGTAGAGTTATGAAATTGTTTGGCAAACGGTTTTCAAAATTTGTAATTCCAATCATAAATATCTTGATAATCAGACAGGCGATCGGCTTGTAAAAGTCATGGGGTTCCTGACTGACCTAAATGTTTATAATTATCATTGCAGCATGAGCTAAACCCAGGATTTTTGACAAAGTTACCGGATCCCTTTAAGTGATAAACCACATGACCATAGTTTATTAAATACACATCCTCTTCTTGGTGATAAAGGTTAGCTGTTCTAACAATTGTGATGATCATTTCCTTTTTAACAACAAAAAAAAAGGAAAAAGAGAGTAGAATAGGAAATGATGGTGTAGTCACATTACATGGTACTGTGAATGAGTTGTGTGGCAGGAAGTTTTTGCAAGGTACATGTCGTTTTCTTTGCTCATGAGATTGGAATTGTTTAAAGTAATTCAGTTTAATGGCCCCTGCGCAAGGATGACACGCAAAATCGTGAAGCGTTCCATATTTCCTTTTGACAGGATTTCTAAGAAGTTTGATGACTCTTTCTCAGTTCCTACGGAAGAGAAACATGGATATATATTGACCCACACACATGTATATATATCCTTTCCTTCTTTAATAATTGAGAGCAGAATAGAAAGAAGTGAGAACTTATCAATTATGTTTTGTGTTTTTTTGTTGAAAATGTACTCCTTTGCATAACCAATCATAAATATCTTGATAATCAGTACAATGAGAAGTTTCTCCTGACAACCTTCCCATGAAAAATTAGTTAATCAATTTTCCCAATGCCTTTAATAATAATGATAGTAACCATGGTAGAAAAGTTATAGTAGAAATTGAAGTAGAAGTCAAACTATTACTACTAGTAGTAATAGTAGTACATGTAGTAGTAGTCCATTGTAGAAGTTGACTAATAGTAGTAGTAGTAACTTGTTGTAGAAATTATAGTACAAGTTGTACTTATAGTGGTAGTAGTAGTAGTAGCAGTAGAACTTGTAGTCCAAGCTGTACTTATAGAAGTAGTAGGAGTAGTAGTAGTAGAAGTATAGTAGTAGTAGTAGTAGTAGTAGTAGTAGTGATAGTGGTAGTCAACGTCGTAGTAGAATTGGTATAGTATGAGTAAGAGTAGTAGTAGTTGTAGCAGTAAGAGTAAGAGTAAGAGTAAGAGTAGTTGTAGTAGTGTAGTAGTAGTAGTAGTAGTAGTAGTAGTAGTAGTAGTAGATATAGTAGTAGTAGTAGTAGTAGTAGTAGTAGTAGTAGTAGTAGTAGTAGATGTAGTAGTAGTAAGGGTAATAGTAGTACTAGTCTTTGTCATAGTAGTAGTAGGAGTCCTAATACATGTACTGTAGTATACTTTTTAAGTAATTATAGATAGATTTGTTCTCAAGCCAGCCACTTTCATTTTACTCTGAAGAGTTAAGGATCACTCTAAACCAAATATAATACCAATTATTTGTTTGTTTGTTTTATTTTATTGTTTCTTGTCATTTTCTCCCATGAGGAAGTAACTTCTAACAAGCTATAAAACTGTCTTGGTTCAAAATATATCCTTTGTAATAAGAGTAGGCTGCTCGATGCACACACACTTGATCAAAGAGGTTATGCTACGTATATCCTGAAAGAGTCCATTCTTAGAACTGATCTATAGTTGGACTTGGTATGCTTGTTTTGGTTCTGTTTTCCTCATAAAGATATTGTCTCTTTTAATTGCTTCCTCTGGGAATGAATAAGTAGGCCTGTCTTCATCAGCTCGAGTTTGCTAAATAACCCGCCATTTTAACTATCCTGATCGCAAATTAACCAGTTAATTTGCATCCTCATCAGCCCGCAGTTTCAATTGTGGGATATTTGGTTGAGAAGATATCCCGAGAAATCTTGGTCTTGTTTCCAAAATATCCCGTTGTTTTGTGAATAGCGGGCTACGGTAATTTGCGCCCGTTGGAGCTAGGTTGTGATGAGCGAATCAGTCTCATGAAGACGCAATTTCATGCTTTGTGATAATATCCTGAGTATGAAAATCGCTGGTTATTTGGCAAACTCGAGCTGATGAAAACAGGCCTATTGTGCTTGTCAATTGCACTGGAGCGCAGTAAAGTATAAGTGACCTATAAATCAGAACTAAAGTGACAAGCTCTTATGTACTAAATTATAAGTGGCGATTACATGTTTCCGACAAAGTAAAAGTTTCGGACAGGAAATATGACCAGTATCATAATAATTACCATATTTGTCCAAAGCACACAAGTGACAATCTCTTATAAATGTACTCAATTATTAGTGGTGATTACATTTTTCAGACAAACTAAAAGTTTTGAACAGGAAATATAATCAGTATCATAATAATAACCATATTTGTCCTAAACGTAAAAGTGACAAGCTCTATGTACTAAATTATAAGTGGTGATTACATTTTTCAGACAGCTTAAATATTTTGGACAGGAAATATGTCCAGTATAATAAAATATTACCATATTTGTCCTAAATAAACAAGTGGCAAGCTCTAATGTCTTAAATTATAAATGGTGAGTACCGTACATTTTTCAGACAAATAATAATTTTCCGCTTTTATATAGCGCTTAATACATCAACAATGTCTCTAAGAGCTTTACAGATATATCTTATTACCCTGGTCATCGGATTCAGGCTTGACCGCACACAATGTATGCACATTCTCTACTCCCTGGGGAGCATTCCAGCCAGGCGTCATTTCACAGACGCTCACAATGCTGAGCAAACTACATTAATTTTTGCATCCTACCGGGTACCCATTCAACACCTGGGTGGAAGGTGGCAAATGTAGATGCACGTCTTGCCAAAGTAAAAGTTTTGGACAGAAAATATGATCAGTATTATAACTATAATCATTACCATATTTGTCCAAAACATACATGTAAAGTTCAATTCAAGATAAAGAATTGAATGTTATGAAGGAATGAGCACACATGAATGTCAAATAATGATATTGCATTCAGTGAATTTAAATACTAGAACAGCAGAAAACTAAATTACATTGATCAGGAAAGTTGAAAGTAGAAATGAGTTGAACAATCCTTGTAACCTTGATTACCTGCAAATAGCTTTGTGGTTTGTAACCCTGCTCAGATATCAGCAGATTACAATTTTATTTCAGATGGTTCATTTAATTTTGTCTCGTCTTAGTTTCCAATCAATTACACAAGTTTCGAAACAAATTTACGTAGAAATATTACATTTTCCTCCCAATAGACTTTCCTTTCATCCAGACAATTTTGTATGTATTTGTAAACAATATGATTGTTATGCTTTTTTTGATAAAAATTTAATACCTAGAATAAGCTACATATCTTGAACCCTCCCCCGTCTTGAACTGTTGTTACTGGAATGACGTCACTGCCATTCACAGCCGTGGGGGGGGGGGGGGGGTTTATAGGCAACATGAAGGCTTACATTACCTTACATGTTTTGTTTTTCCTGCTCATATAGACAATTTTATTCCAGATGGTTCATTTTTTCTTTGTCTCGTCTTAGTTTCTGATCAATTGGGTGAATTTCGATACAAGTAAAACAATTAATTTACCTAGCTGTATCATACTTTAAAACTATTAAAAAATTGTGTGCATTTAACTTTTGCAAATGCTGCAAGATAAGTTACAATCTGAATCTTTGCAGCAAGTGGCAAAATTGAATTTTGCAATCAAATAGCCACAAATAGTGATGTTACAGCAGTCAGATTGAGATTGTAAGGTGTGTAGTAACTGCATGATACTGATCATTATCCTGAACCAATACACTTGTTTTTTTCTTCTATGAAATAGGTTCGAGAAACTGCCGAATCCATGTTTCCTGGTATGCTGGCGGTGGTGTGCGGATCGTATCGTCGAGGGAAAGTGACCTGCGGGGACGTGGACGTCCTCATCACGCATCCCGACGGAAAGTCTCACAAGGGGGCGCTCTCCAAGATCCTAGATGCCTTACGACAGACTGGTAAGTTAACTTGTTTTGTGTGTGTCCTGGGGGTTGTTTCATAAAGCTGTTTGTAAAGTAACGCATGACTTTACAAATGACTTAAATATGAAAAGCCAAATGGGATGCTCAATTCTTTTTTAAATGCATCAACTAAAGTTTAACTGTGCAGATGTAGATTAGCATTATCATCATAACAAACATTTTTAATGCAAAGTATATTTTTTGCCATAATTTAATTGACCTTATTGGAAATATAGTCGCATTTTGTTCAGGAAAAACCTTAGGGCATCCTATCTGGCACTTCATATTCAAGTCGTTCGTAAAGTCATTACGAACAGCTTTATGAAACACTCCCAAGGGGAAGCTGTGTTGTATCAAGGGCTACTCGTGCATGATGCAGTAAACTGCTGTACGGGAAATAAGTGTGGTGAGCAGCGAAATGAAATATGATATTAACTTGAAGTGTGTACATCATAGGTCTGTATCTACTGGTAATACTTCAATCACCTACCCTGCACTGACTGCATATCATATGGTTCTAGGACAATCACCCCCTGGGCAATCACCCTGCAGCCAATATTAACCAACGAGACAATTACACCTAAAAAAAAAATATTAAAAAAAATAATAATAATTATCCGGGTGGATTTCCCCTTTTATGACTAGGGGGTAATTTTCGGGGGGGGGGGGGGGGGGGGGGGAATTGTCCTCAGGGGATAATTGTCCATGGGGGTTATTTTACTGGGGGCTGGTAACTTTCTAGGGGTTCACGGCTGTTAAGGGCACTTTTATTTTTGGTTTGGTCTGTTATCGATTTGGTGTCAGTGTCGTTGGTATGATAGGGATTCTGTGAATGAACGTTTGGTGTATGGTAGTTTTAATAAGTCCTTGTGAGATTGCCCACCAGCAACTTGTATTTGTGGGTTTGATGCCTGTGACCTTCATTTTCACTTCTTGGAATGAGTGAAACAAAAGAACTTCAAGCTTGTGAAGACTTTCATGTAGTACCGACTATCATAATCAACTTATTTGTGAGGATAACTCATTTGCTGCATTTGCTTCAGGAACAGGGTGCTTCCTGTACTAACTGTATGAGAGTGAGACAGTGCATTATTCAATGGGTTAATGTACTGCTATTTGCTGTTACCTGAATAAAATAACAAATTTTCAATTTCTTTGTGATTATGGTTTTCAAAAGTGTCAGATTCATTCGCTGCAGGGTGGGGTGAAAGAGAGAGAGGGGGTGGACATTAGGATTGAGAATGAGAGAGAGAGAGAGAGAGAGGAGATAGAGAGAGAGAGAGAGAGGGATAGAGAGAAAGGGTGAGAGAGAAAGGGTGAGAGGGAAAGGAGACATAGGGAGAGAGAGGGATAGAGAGAAAGGGTGAGAGAGAAAGGGTGAGAGAGAAAGGGTGAGAGGGAAAGGAGACAGAGAGAGAGAGAGTTGGAGAGAGAAACAGAAAGTTAAAGAAAGAATGAGAGAGAAAGAGAATAAGAGAAAGAGAATGAGAGAGAGAGGGGGGGGGGAGGAGGCTAGGAGACAGAATGAAACATTTCATTTGAGTGTGTCAACATGAATGTGTATTGGAGATGTGTACAAATATCTGGCTTGTATGTGACTAGAAATCCCCAACTCATTTCCGACCAGAATTGTGCATTTGCCAAGCTTGAATAAAGCCAAAATATTTCCCCCTACTACAAATCTGTAGAAAAACTCAGGATTATGTTTTCTAGCTACGGTGAAAAGGGGATATGAGATTTGTCTGTTATTTATGCTTATCCATGTGTGTAACCTCGATTCCCAAATTTGGTGGGATTTGATATCCTGTCATGTGAAAAAGTCAAATCATGTGAAGATTTGAACTCTGTGTGACACTTGCAATGGCGTAATATGTATATCTGTAAAAAATGGTCATAGATATCATAAAAGTGTTTTGTTTTTGTTTTTTGGTAAGTTTTCACTTTATATGTCAGCATTCTTTATACTTCATCCATAACTACTCTTGATTCAGTTTGAAGTTAATTAACATCTTTAGACAGTTTGATTTTATATTGACTTTTAGATTTTGTTTTTACTTCGTTTGGATTTTTTTTTTTTAAACTGTTCTGCAACCTTGGTATGTCCTTAGAAAGAAACAAAAATTCTCTCTCCTCTGTTGTTCAAGTATGATTAACAAACTAACTTCTTTAAAAAAAAATCTTCATTTTACAATTCATATAATGATGAGATTTAACACACTGAGGCTGCGTTCATGCTTAAATTTTGAAGGCAGAATGAGCGATCTGAAACGCTCATCGTAAACGCTCATCGTGATCGCAGTTCCACGATGTAGTGTTCATGCTTACTTCTCCAGGCAATTCTTCTTGGGTGGCCTTCAGCTGGATTCGCAAACCTGTGTGCGCATGCTACGTAGACCCACTAGAGGTCAGTGCGTTGACCCCATTTAAACGCGTTTACAAATTGTAAACGCATCTTTTTGTGAGTTTACGATCAGCGATCGTGATCGCCGTTTTTCAATGATTCTACAAAAGTGAGCATGAACGCAAGCGTGTTTTAAACTAAACGCGTAACAGATGCCTGATTCTGGCCGTCAAAATCAAGCATGAACGCGCCCATACATGTAGTTCAAGCATTCTTTTTACTTCAACACCATTTCTCTATTTTGCAGCAAGTTTTTTTTAAATCTATGAAACAGCCAATTTCAAGGTAACTAGGCTACATGATGTTTATGACAAAGGGTTATGTTTATTCACATAGGAAAGATAAATATGCTTTACTTTTATTTTGTATAATATCTCCTTTAATATGGCACGGACCTGGGTATAAAGTACGTCAGAAGCTTGAATACGCTCTAAAGCTCTGCTTGAACAGTATCTGCTGAGGTTGTGTGGTTACCTACCTAATAGCTTTCGTGTATGTTTTTTTCAATAATCTATGAAACAGCCATCCGTCAAATTTCAATTTAACTAGGCTGCATGATATACATGTACATGTGGCAAATAGTGATGTTTATTCACAGATGAAAGATAAATATGCTTAACTTTTATTTTGTATAATATCTCCTTTAATATGGCACAGACTTTGGTATGCAGTACATCAGAAGCTTGTATGTACGCTCTAAAGCTCTGCTTGTACAGTGTCTGCGAATGTTGTGTGGTTTATTGATTTGATGATGGTGTACTTTGTGCAAATTATCTGTGGGGTAAAACCACAGAATGTTTTATTCAAGTCTAGAGCCCTGTTTCATTAAACTAGTTATCAATAACAAGTTACAGTTACTGTTTGGCATGTGATTGGCTGAGAGCAAATTGCGATAGAAATTTAGCATTTGTTATTGATAACAAGTTTAAAGGGAAAGTCCACCCCCAAAATAAGTTTGTTTCGATAGAGGCAGAATAATAAGAAAATCAGGTGAGTGAAAGTTTGAGCAAATTCTGAATGAAAATAAGAAAGTTATGAATTATTGAAGTTGTGATCAATCAAATACAAATTGGCAACTCTGTGACTTATTATACGAGCTCTCCTTCATTTGCTTTGTGCATAATATTCCATAAAATCATGTTTTCTTCATTATTGATGACGGAATATATATTTGTTCCTTGCAGGGGGAGTACAGAAACATATTTGCAATTATTATATTTAGGGTGCATGTATGGTTGAAATTTTTCTTGAGGGAAAATGAAAATTTTAGATTTTTTTAGTACTGAGCAAATGGAAGTTGAGCTCGCATGATACGTCATAGAGTTGCCAATTTGTGTTTGATTGATCACAACTTCAAAAATCCTAACTTCCTTATTTTTAATCGGAATTTGCTCAAACTTTCACTGACTTGTTTCTCTCATTTTTCTACCCCTATTAAAACTAACTTAATTTCAGGGTGGACTTCCCCTTTAATGAAACAGGGCCCAGGGAGCCCCATCATGCACGTGTTTGCCTAGGCATGTGCCTTTTGTATCTAAATTGTAACTTCCCAAGGGACTACACAAACACAATCGATATGGGCACTCTATTCTTTTTTGTAGCTAAGATCTGACACTCATTTTTTATTGGGGGGGGGGCATGGCTAGTTGAGCCCCTATAGGCTTGATCTCTCAGTAGGTATGACACAGTAAACTGCCACAAAAAAGCCACCATTGTTTTTAAAATGTGTAAACGAATGGCGACTGCGCACAACAAAGGTTTTGCATGTATTCATTGAGCTCTGTTTAATATAAGATACAGAAATTTGAAGCGTATTGCATTTTATGTCATCATATTAAAAAAAGACACCACGATTTTGCCTCTCCATATCTGAACGAGGCCAATGCTGAAGAGTATAGTGCCTGTTTAGTTTTGGTGTTTTTTTGTTTTTATTCTTTTAAATGGGCCTACAAGAGGGAAGTAGTTATTTGCTGTATGTAACATCTATGAATGTTTGTTATCTCTGGTTACAAGTAAAACTTCATAGCTCAAAAACTGAAATAAAACCTTTAAAGAATCTGTCGTTCCATTTGTTTATCTTGATAATCAAAATTTTTAAAAGTATAATAAATTCTATGTATTTACTAAACTCATGTTTGCCATACATTTTTGATCAGTTTTTTAATAACACTACAGTCTATTGGGGAGATGATTATGGTAAAAGTGGTCACTCAAAGATTGTTACTTTTTTTAAACGCAATTTTTTAAGGGCTTCAATATTACACCATATCACAGACACTGATAACACGTAGGACCATGCATCTCAGATTTGTAAAACTGAAAACATTGTTAAACAATGCCTTTAATTAATATTTACTTACCGGTCCTTTAAGTATAATATCATAGAATGTATGTTGAAATATTTGAACCTGAAAGATAAACAAAAATGCTGATTATATAGCGATGTGTTTACTCACAGAGGTCAGATATTTACGCATTTCTTTTATTTGATCTCAATTATTGTGCGGCGTACCTTGGTATGAGGACTACACGTCGTACGTCAGAAACTGTTTATGTGCGGCCTGGTCGGTTGGATGGCTAAATGACTTGATGACGTTTTGCATGAACTGTGTTTAGAAAGGAGGTGGTTGAAAAATGTGAAATAAATCATGC